TATATAACGTTGAATTTCTTATTTTTGGTGGGTGGCATGAATACATAATTGATTTATTTTATTAGAGTTCATAAGCCTTCGAGAACCATTTAAAAATATAGCTCGTCAAATTTATTTAGAACCATGGTTTTCGAGTACATTTTATTTCATATGGAGAAGTTTTTCATGAATTTAAACGTTAACGGGTTCATATACACTTCTGTTATTAAAATTTCTGTGATATCAACATTGAAGTTTTTATTGCGTTTTGTGTTATTTCTATCCCATGTAAAATTAATTCTCCTTTCCGATGCATTTCTTACACTTTCTTCTTATATCAAGTTGTCGGAAGTGAGTGTGATTTTACTGTGAATCACGAATGAATCAGTGAAGTGTGAATTTTACAATTTGGTCATGTTCATTATTTGTATTGTTCCTATTGGTCAATCGAACAAGAAGCGGGACTGGGTCCGTGACGTCACGGGCCTATGAAATCCGATTTTTAATAATCAATTACGAGAAAACAACGCTATTTGGAGAGCTGAAACAAAGTACACTATTTTTCAATTTGAAATTGATACCAAATGAACTGTAAACCAAAAATCATGGAACAAGTCTAATTTCTGCTGCCGGAGATATTTCAAAAATGAAGTTTTTATTGCGTTTTGTGTTATTTCTATCCCATGTAAAATTAATTCTCCTTTCCAATGCATTTCTTACACTTTCTTCTTATATTTAGTTGTCGGAAGTGAGTGTGATTTTACTTTGAATAACGAATAAATCAGAAACTGTTACACTCCGTGAATTTTACAATTTGGTAATGTTCATTATTTGTATTGTTCCTATCGGTCAATCGAACAAGAAGCGGGACTAGGCCCGTGACGTCACGGACGTAGAAAATCCGATTTTTAATAATTAATTACGGGAAAACAACGCTATTTAGAGAGCTGAAACAAAGTACACTACTTTTCAATTTGAAATTACTACCGAATGAACTGTAAACGAAAAATCATGAAACAAGCCCATTATTATTCTTTGCGCATTACCAATTACTAGATTGCATACACTTCCGCTTGAAAAACGGATGTGTATTGATAGAGTAGGTAGCTGTGTTGGTTTTGTAAATCTATAAATATCTACTTATGTCTGGAAAATCATCACCAACTATTGTTAAACTTTATTCTGGGAATTATATTATATAGAGTTTCAAAATAAACTTGATAGGTAGGATTGGAACCTTAAAATGAATCTGTTAAAAACGCCAGGCCTGAAGTGGCAAACATTTTTTCAAAAGCTTCAAAATAGAATGATTATTGATGAAAGAAAGCTGTTGAGATTTCATTGAGCCACATTCACTAGATACCTGCGGACAAAATGGATTCACGGGCATATTCAATGTTCCCACATTGGACTTTTGATGAAGGCATGAAAACATCTCAGAAAATGTTAGCAACACATTCCGATGTGGTATTATTTAACGGGACGAATTTGCCGAATGCAGTTATATGGGGTGTTAACAACGGAGATGCTTCGTTTCGGAGATACATTGCGTTGAAGTTAAAAAAACGGTATTTATAAAATATAATAAATAACTTCACACCGCTTTGGTTGAAATTTGCTACTAAAATTAAAAATTTTTGTTGTTTGTGTTTTCTTCACATCAAGCTTCATTTTCGAGAAAAAAATCACTTCAAAAAACTATTCATGGACAACATAAAATAAAAACCAAAAGTAAAAAACAAACAATTACGACCTGAAAGTGAATGAGCAAAATGTTCAATTTCTGATAAAATACACGACTGCAATCGATTTGTCACTGATTGTAAAAATCCCGAGGCAGCAGAGCTTGGACCCGCTGTAGGTGATTTGGGTATAGGAAGTTTCTATTTAGAAGTATCCATATGGTTTTTGGTCTGACTTCAAGCTGCAGTGCAATTTTCCTGGTACTATTTGTAGGATCTTCTTCTATCGCATTAAGTATAGTTTCTCCTTTTCAGGCGTGGTTACGGTTTCTGGTCTTCCACCACCAGTATTTTTATCAAGACTCCCAGTTTTACATAATCTTGCATGTAGCGTTTTAAATGTTCTAGCACATGGAATTACTCTATTAAGATATCTGTTGCTTCTTCCGCATTTCCATTTGCTAATCCATAAATGAAGTCAACCATTTCAGCGTTAGTAAAATTATTCATGATGGAAACACTGCTAATTGACAACTTTGATTTTCACTGATTTGGCAACATTATCAATGTCAGCAGGTCTCCAAAATAGGTGTTCATGATATGCAAGCGGCTTCAATTTTTTTCTCGAAAACGGAACTAGATATGAAGAAAACGCAAGCGACGAAAAAGTTGTATTTTAAGTTGAATGATCTAAAAAAATAAAAAAACTACAGCAAGTCACTGGCGTACTTTTTTCCTAATATTTCACTCACTATTTTCAATCTAGTTGGGGGCAAAGGAGCGTTTCATTACTTCAAATAACTGCACTGAATTTAAACCAACTCATTGTAAGAATATTTATGAAATTCCATAATTACTGTTTTTCTATAAACTTCAACGCCCTGTATCTTAGAAAGGAAGCAACTTTGGACATATTCTCATGAGAAAGTTCCATACCGTAGTTAGGAAACACCCTGTATAATGGTAATATAGAAGATCTCAAATGATTTAGAACTCAGAAAGATAGCGATGATTTGATTGGTGAATAAATATTTTTTTTGAAAGAATACATACATTTTTTTGTTGATCTATTCGATATTAAAGAGTATGTGAACTTCAAGAATGGACCGACCCGTTCCTTATCGACAGATTCAGCATTAAACAACCTCGTTGAGAAAATCTCCCAATCCCTTGACAACAAGAAGATTGCGGTTGCTGTATTTCTTGATATTGAAGGAGCATTTGACAAAGCACTACCTAAATCTATAGGATTGTTTCTGGCCAGAAAGGATATAAAATCGACCATAACTAGCTGGATCTATGCCATGCTAGTAAACAGAACTGCAACTACGACTCTTCAAGGCGAGGCTATCAGGTTCAGGGTCACCAGGGGCTACCCTCAAGGTGGGGTACTATCTCCTCTTCTGTGGTCGCTCTTGGTGGATAGTCTGCTTGATGCCCTCGACAGAAGAAAAGTTGATCTGCAAGCTTATGCAGATAACCTTGTCATCCTGGCAAGGCCCACGTCGGGAAGGGTAGCTTGTAATATCCTCAAAAGCGCGTTGGACGTTGTTCACAGTTGGTGCCTGAGGGAGCAAATGTCTGTCAACCCCAGCAAAACTGTGTTTATCCCCTTCACCAAGAGAAGGAAATTGGACGATATAACGCCACTTTTCCTCAATGGTGTGGTGCTTCCATTTGGAACGGAGGTGAAATATCTTCGCATTGTCCTAGATGAAAGACTCACCTGGAACGCTCACTTGGAAAAAGTTTTACACAAAGCCAGACTGTCTCTATGGACATGTCAAAGGATTTGTGGTAAAACTTGGGGTTTAGGTTCCAAACAAATCCATTGGATTTATGTGATGATTATCAGACCAATGATCACTTATGGTGCAATGACCTTTACAGAAAACGGCCCAAGCGAAGCTCTCTGGCTTACAGAGACAGGATTGTCTGGCTATCAGTGGTGCCATCAGTACCACACCATCAGCGGCTATGGATATCCTTCTAGATCTACCTCCTCTCCACATTTTTCTGGACAGAGAGGCTAGATGGACTGCATACAGACTTGTGCACTTAACGTTCACTTAACGTGAACATCCTATACTTGCCTAGGAACTAATGCGACTGTATTTCGAGCGGAAATTTACGCTATTGAATTGTGTGCGGAGAGATTGGATGAATCCAACCTCACTCACAAGTCAATAAAAATATTCTCGGACAGTCAAGCGGCGTTGGAAGCTCTTGGCTCCTTCCGAGCAACGTCTAAATTGGTAGCAAACTGCCAAAAAAGACTCTCCTCGATAGGAAGACTAAACAGGTTGTCTCTGGTCTGGATTGGTCTGGAAGGCAATGAAGCTGCTGACTCTCTTGCAAAGGAGGGTGATGCAAGCGGCTTCATTGGACCAGAACCTGTCATTGGCATCGCTTTGGGCTTTGCCAAACAAACACTGAACACCTGGATGGCAAGAAAAGTTATGGACTTATGAATCTTCTAGGATTGGCTCACTCCAAGGCGTTTATTCACCTTTCAAAGCTTGATTCCAAACAGCAGAGACTTGGACAGCAGAGACTTGGACTGTTGGATGACAGTGTGTGTCGCCTCTGTCTGGAAAATGATGAAACTGCAGAGCATATACTTTGTGCATGCCCCGCTGGGAACCGAATCAGATTCTTTGAGTTCGGCAGATCCGTACTCTTACCATCTGACTTGAAAGACCACTCACCATACAAACTAATCGTCATCGTTAAGAAGCTGGGTTTGTTTGGTCGAGTGTGAATAGGTGTGAGCCACAATAAACCCTTGCGGGTTGCGGTGGAGAGTTGAATAGACCCACTCACTTCAGACCTACCTACCTACCCGTTACTTGATGAAAATTAATAACATTTCAATTTCCAGATGCGTTTCGCTAACTCAGTAGCTTCTTCGGAAGCTACCGAGGAAGCTACTGATTTAACAAAACACGTCTAAAAATTAAAATTCTTGTAAAAATTGTATAATTATTAACTATATTTGATGGAAAGACACGCCTGAAGAAGCTTTCGTATAGCGAAACACGTGTTGCGTTTTTGTAAAACTGTTCAGTGAAAATCTCACAAAGTGTTTCTTGAATTCGTTATTATTATCATGAATAGTTTTACTGAATTATATTTGATGTTGTTGAAAGTTGTGTTGATAATAGGGGCAGCAGAAATTAATCAGGAAAATCTAGTTATGTCCAATATTTTTCAAACATAACATTCGACTCTTTAATGTTTTCGACGACCTATCAACAGTCTATCAAGTGTTTAATGGCAAGTACTTCCTCTTTGCAAGTATGTTACCGTCAGGGATAATCAAATCAAATGAAAGATAAATGAGGTGTACTATCAAAGCATATAATTTATTGATATTATTATAGCTTAAGATTATGTTCAATTACAAGTCTCATTGTGATAAACAAACAACAATTCACACAGTTATCATCAGTTCATTTCTAACTGGCTTTAGTATTGTTTTCTTCAAGTCCCAATAAATATTCAAATGTAAGTAATCTGATTTCGTCAATACTGAGGTCTAGATGGAAGTTTCGGTAAAGAGTTTGCTTGATTTCAGTCACCATCAGGGAATCCATTCCCAACTGGGATATAGTTGATGATTTGTCCACCAGTTCTGAAAGAAAACATGCGATGAGTGCTAGTTTATTCAGTGCAATAAGGAAAAAGGTATATACGGGGAAAAAGGAATTATAAAGAAAATTTTAATGTAGACATGTTTTTTAAGTGGAGAACTTACAGTAACAAATCTAAATTAGATAAATTGAAAGTATGAATTGAAAAACAGAAAACATTAAATAATACTGTTTGTCTTCAGATAGAGTAGCGATTCACATTGGCCTTGAATCGCTGGAGAATGAATCCATTTCGAGAAACGTTCTCAAAAAGTTTATTCCACATAAACACAGTTCTCCAGTGTAGTTTGAGGTATACTAAGTTGAACCTCAAAACAATGAGCAGCCACAGTCCTTCGCATATTTCTGATATGTACCGCTCTTGGTGGAATCAAATGTGCCAAGTCACTCGAACATCTCCCGTGAAAGTATCTACAAAAGAGAGAAAAATCTCCAACCTTTCTTCGATATTCTGAACTATCAAGGTTGCAAGTGATGTTCGTGTCTCCAATCAGGGGTATGGCTCTTTCCTGAATGGAATCCGGCAGCTTCAAAGTATGCTTACGGGCGGAGCTCTGGGGAACACTAGCGTTGATGATGAGAGTATTCGAGAGATATTCATCGACGGCCACTTGCAGGAAACGTTCTTTCAGGACGCCGGAGAGCCATGAACTAAAATGATCTGACAAGCCATAGCATCGAAGTTTGGCCAGCAAACCCTTATGTCACACACGGCCAAAGGCATTAGAAATATCAAGCACAAAAGCTCTTGACTCTCCATGTTTCTCGATTCCGTTATTCCAAATTTGGGTGTCATACGATAGAAGGTCGCCTGTTGATCTTTGTTTCTGAAAGCCATATTGATGATCGCTAAAAAGGTTAATAGCCTTCCAAATATTTAAAGATATGGTGGTTCACGGCTATAGTTATTTAGAAGATTTTTCTTGCCCTTTTTGGGAACCCCTTCCTTGTAAGACAGGTTGAAATGTCTGCAAAATACGTCGCGCACTTTTCAAGTACGATGACGAGCACTTCATCAGGACCAGACGCCTTTTTGATATTGATATGTTTCAAAATTTGTCTGACTAGACGTTGTTGAAAAGTAATTTCCAACATCGTGGATTCTATTGTGAGAATTTTGGGTGGTGCCTCTACCAGAAAATCGACTGTGAAATCTATTCAGCCCATAGAGAGGTTAAGCTTATACTGTATTGAGACCTGCACAATACATTCATCGAGGAAAACCGAGAACTGAAGTAGATGTCCAAAAATTTCGCTGACCGTAGTAGTTTAGTCTATAGTACTAGATTTATTGTTCATTTATGAGTAATACTTACTGATGTCTCTAACTCCTAAGATATGAGCAACTGTCTCTGCTATTGTCTTCTTCACAGCGCCGGAAGACTCTTCATTTTCTGCTAAAACGATGCTAGAACCTACTGGACTATCTTGTAACATGAATGTCTCTAAAGAATTCAGACAAGAAGTTATATTTTGAGGTAGCATACCCATCAAGCCCTAGAAAAAAGTATTCATAAAATATTCTGGTTCTGGGAGACCGGAAAGTTGTGATCTCAATCATTTAAATTGAATTGAAAATCACATTATCCAATAACATAAAACGTACAGCATGATGACCGTCGCTGAGCAGTATTTTGGGAAATAGTTGGAGTCGTATTTTGAAAATTGTCAGAGGTGGGTTTTTGGCATGCTCTATCGAATAAAAATGATGGCGTTTCCGTAAGAATCAATTTCGGTACAAAGTTCCTTATTCCAAACAGAACGCCCTGTACATCATCACATTTTTTGATACCTGTAATACTTATTTGTTTATTAAAAATACCTAAGAATTCGGTTATCGAGTAATTCCCCAATGAAATAAACGAATACATAAATGAGCTATTAATGATTCATTAAAATACTTCATTTCATCGTCTTGTTATACATGATGATGAATGTTGCATAATTGAGCAGGACGCTCAAAAAAGCAGAAGTCAATAACAGCTGAAGTATATCGTTCTTCGGATTTGATACTGATATTATCAATACAAGTTTTCAATCTGTTTGTTACGCGCGTATATTCATCTATTGTCAAGATGGTATCAAAAGAGTTTAGGAATATCACCACTCGTTTTATCCAATTATGTTTTAGATGTCCACAATCATTATTAGTTCATATATGGGAAAAAAGCTTTCTGACTTCCACTTCTCCATCTTTATACAAAAATTGTAGGCAAACTACCTAACGGAGGATAAAGTTATTACATTTAAAATAAACTATTCACACAGATTTGTATATTATGCATAGAAGTTACTTATAGTTACAAATTGGAAGAAAAAGCCCTGCTGAAATAACTACTTGCATATACACATTGAATTACTCGAAAGAAGATATACTTTCGAAGCAACTAGATATATTGCTGAGAATCATCATTCATGTTCAATGATCATGGTCCACTATGTCAACCACTCTCAATTTAATGTACATGAACGAATATTTATTTGTACACATTCCCTTTATGAACATTTGTTGTTACTAGTTTCTTGGAATCATATAACGTATATAACGTATTCAAAACTTCTATTATTGGGCTTTTTTGAGGAGGAACCCTGGCTAGCATTCTTATTATTTCTCACCGTGTTTTCTAAATCTACATTGGCAAGTATTCCGACATCTCCAATTGGGCCCCACTGGATGGCGAGACCGGGAAGATTTTCTCGTTTTCTTTTCTCGCATAACCTTTCCAAAGCGGAATTCGCCATACCGTAGTTCGTCTGTCCGGCGTTTCCCCTTCCGCACGCCACTGAAGAAAATACCACAAAAATATCCAGGTTCGGGCAGTGCTGACGGGTGACAGTATCCAAGTTAAAACCTGATGAAATTTTCGCTTTGAATACGTCTTCGAAGTTTTTCTCCGTCTGATTAGAGAAGATTGCGTCTCTCAGAACCAATGCCATATTGAAATAGTCAAGGGCTTTCATTTTTTATTTTTTGCGAAATTTTGCCCCCTGGCCCACTAGCTCACCTGATAAGACGCCTCTAGATGTTTTTGAAAGTATACGTGTCGAAAGACTCGCAAAACAATGCAACTCAATAGAAATATGTATCATAATTCGTCTGTTGGACGATTGCGAGATCATTAGAAGCATATTTGTAAAATTATTTGAAATTCCGGTCCCCTGCTCCCACTGAGAATGATACACCGGAGGTTGGAGCACGTTCACTAGAAAACTCTCATGAATTGTATTTCATATCTGTTTTTGACAGCAATAAAACAATAAGATGCATCCAGTCTGATAGGTTAGAATCTCACCAAACGAACTGTTGACCCACCATGAAGATGGGTAGTACTCTAAGCGCCTTTTCACACCTGGAGCTTCACGTCTCCCGCTTCCGAGAGAGAGGAAGACTCTTAGCGCCAAAATGGAGTCCAATGGAGCTTTCAGACGAACAGCGGGAGCCGCCACGTCTCGTAAGACGAGAGCTCTCATGTTCTTGCACCTCGAGCCGGGGAGCAACGTTCTCCTCCTCAAAATGTAAAAGGATGAGTTGAGGCTTCCACACGAGGAGTGAAAATGGCTCTTCCTAGTTGAGGCTTCACACTATTTATAATGGCATGTGGAGCTTTTAATTAGTGCTGTTTGCAACCGACCCGCTTTTTGGGATAAAAGTCTCGACATTCATAAGGACCGAAATGAAGTCCTAAAAAGTTGGGTGGAAGTCTGCAAGGTGCTCAACGTAAATTGCGTTACTTCATCCATCCCATTCTTGATCGTTGACGGTTCTGTCGTCGAGATTTGTGTCGACGGTAGAGAATGTATATAGCAACACCTCACGTGCGATCTATTCTACGACTGACCTCAAGGAGCCAGCAGCCAGGAGCTAAAAAGGCTCCCGGTGCGAATGAGCGGGAGGTAGGAGTGATAAACGCCCCCGTATAAGAGCGAGAGACGTGAAGCTCCCCGTGCGAAAGAGTCGTAACGATATGTGGATGTTGTGATGAACTCTAAAATATTTCGAATCTGTTGTGGAAATGAAGAGTATCAAATTAATTGGAAGTACAAATTTTCGAATGTAAATTGGCTTTCATTGCTCTAGTATTCCAAACCCGAGGTTTGAATACGAGTAGGGGAGAATGTTCCACGATCAGACATGTTCCACAATCAGACAAAGCAAGTAATTTTAAAATTACAGCCGCGAGTTCGATGTTTTTCGTTCGGGTAGTAGGGTTACACACGCAGTTTTGGTAAACAAAGTTGTAACGCTATTCTTTTGGATTTGAGCATTTTTCAACAAAAAACTTATTTTCCTAGGTATGTTTTTTCTATTCTTGATTTGATATTATAAGCCTTAATTTTTCTTTCGGAACTAGTAGTACAAAAACAATCTGTTGATCAGATTTTTGGTTATTTTATTGACATTTTATGAGCGAGTTTACTTTTGTAGGTTATGTATTGAGTTCACAGTTGAATTTAATTTTGTATTACGGTTTAAGTTCCACCTTCAGACAGCATTCGTGTTCCTCAATCAGACGCTGTCTGACTGTGGAATATAATTCGTGCCGTTGAAATTGTGACTTATGGAGCACCGTATGGTACTTTGGGATTGGTTTCCGACTCTGGATGGATGGCTCGTGAGTTGTTTCCAAGCGTTGTGAGGCACTTCATTGAACATACGTCCAGCACAAAAGAAAACCCTTCCCTCCTGATTTTTGACAATCACGAGAGTCATCTGACGATAGCAGGAATGAATCTAGCAAAGGAAAATGAATGATCATTTTGACCTTACCACCGCATACTTCCAACAAGATACATCCGTTAGATGTCTCTGTGTTTTTTTCGTTCAAATCATTCTACATTACAAACATGACTTTTAGAACACCTTGGGATACCCGTTTCTATTTTTGATATAGCTGGCTGTGTTAATAATGCATTAGAAAAATTGATGACGCCAGCTAATATTAAATCCGGATTTTGAAAAACTGGGATTTATCCTTTCGTTAAATTCATATTTACAGATGACGACTTCGCAATTAGTAGCGTAACTGCTAGAAATGTGGATCAAAACAATGAAAAAGCCCGATCACATATAGATCCCAATCAACCATCAACATCAAGCTGTATTGAAGAAAATATTATGTCAGTCTCCTCACTTTCAGCATCAGTTAATACACACACACAACTCCCACACAAAATCAAAACACAGAAACTTTCGTAAGTCCGCAAGAATTCAAAGGATACACAAAAGCTGAAGAACGAAAGAATCAGAGAAAGAAGAGAGAAAAAGGTAAAAGTATTATCGCCACCGACACTCCAGAAAAGATCGCCCTGGAAACTAAACAGATAGAGAGGAAAAAAAAGCTTGAAGAAGAAAAATATCATGAAAAGAAAAGTAGGATTCGATGAAGACTCAACAGACGAAGAAAATGAGAATGCGGCGATGTTTGTAACTGTAACTGTAACCTCTTCTAGATAAGCTTAATAAAGAGCCAGAAGTTGCCGATTTTATTTTGATAGAATTTATAGACAAAAGGAAAAAATTTATTACATAGCTGAAGTATTATGTGAAAGAGATAAGAAATGTGAAGTTAAATTTCTGAGAAATTCCGTTAAGTATGATAACAGCTTCATTTACCCCGAAATAGAAGACGTCTCTTTGGTATGCTTGGAAAATATTTGGATGGTGTTACCAAAACCATCACGCGTGGAAACAACAAAACGGCAACAATCAAATTTGAAGTTAATTTTTCAGCCTTAGAAGTTCGTTGAAACAGTACTAAAACTTCTGTATTATTGTGGAACATGCCGTGTCTGGATGTGGAACATGTATGTTCCACAATCAGACAACTGTCCTTTCATTTTTAAACAAACTTTTTTTGAATTATTTTTTTGGTTAATTATGTATGTATTACCATAGAACATTATGCACAGCCTTAATTTGTATAAGTGACAATCATTTGCTCAATAAATAAGGTTAATATTTAGCAAAATCTATTTTGTGTCTGATTGTGGAACACTCTCCCCTACTATTTTGTTAATGACATCGTGAAACATAAAAAACGTTTATTTATCTGCCAGACATTGCTATTCTCAATAAATCAGGCGAATTAATAACATCATCGATCCGGGAAATGAAGGTTTTGATTTTCAACTTCTCCATCTTGATACAAAACAGTTCGGGAATCTTCCAAACGACAGCGCGATCATATTCAAGTAAAAAACAGAGATAGCATCTAATTAGTGTGAATTTGGTGGTCTTGCAACTCCAAGGATATTGGCGGTATCCTCATAGGAATCATTTGTCAATCGATAGGCTAATACATTAGTAATTGTTGATTTAGCTGCGTCCCAAAGTGGCTCCGTTTCTTGATCGAGCCAAATGGAGGTCGCTAAATTTGCGTTCTAGTCAGTTAGCAAATATTATTTGAAAGAATATTTTATTGTCGGGAAAGAAAAGTTTTCGCTTCCCACCTCTCCATCATTATATAAAAAAATGTGCCTGACTCGAGATGTTCTCTTGGCTACTTGTTTTACAAATCTATATAATTCATATATTATTCAGTATATTTTTTTTGTTTCATTTAGTTAGCTGTGAATGAACTGTGAATGTTTAAAAAAAGTTGTTGTTGTTGATGGTCAGAAGGGTAATAGATGACAAAAAGTAAAATTTGGTATTTTTCTTGAAAAATAAAGTATCAAAGGAAATTACAGATATGATAAACTTTAGGTATAAATTTTGTTGCAATTTGTATTCATTTATTTCAATCGAACTTTTGTTCTATCATTTTATTGTGGAATGACTTGAATTTTTTTTATTTTGTGGAAATTGATTCAACTTCGATGATTTATTTTTAAATCTTGCTTTAACTTCCTTCGTGTCTTCTAATGAACTTATGAATATTTGTCGGTTTCTTGAAATTAACTTCAATTCTTACTTCGTGAAATTTTCTTAATTTTTTTAATATATTTTACTTTGGAAAATGACTTGCTTCATTGTTTTGAACTTTTTTGGTAAACATTTGTTATTCACTACAACGTTATAATGGTAACAATGTTAGTTAAGGATATGTTTGTAAAAGTAATTGTGTAGTTACGCTTGATCCGTGTAAATACTTTCCAGCGAGTGGATGTTAGAACCTTGACTGCTATAACAATGAATGTTATACGCTTATACTTGTGTAAACATGGTTATAGTTTTGACTGTCTCTGACTATTTCTTCCCTAATGTGTCCTCATAAAACCAAAATATACGTAAACAGTTAAGGCCTTAGAGGAATTTGAATATGTGTAAGGATAGGATAGTACGAATTTAATCCTTACCACCAACTGGTCCAAGCTTTTCTGCATCGAGAATTAAACGTTTAGCACCATCTAGATCGCTGCTATCATTTGTATTCACTTTAACGGTGATTCCTGGCAATGATGACCAATATTTCAATCGTAATGCTTGGTAGCCATTCCATATTTGCCTTCTGGAGTTCAGAATAATTTTGGTGGCGCCTCTCCTGATCATCCAGTTTGCGAGTTCCAAACCGAAACCGCCTAAACCTCCCACCAAAATATACGACTTATTACAATCAAAGTAGACCTTTGGACTAGCTGGAATCGTCCTAGTGAGTAACTGATTTGCATCTTCTTCTCTCATTTGAATGAGAACTTTTCCTTTATGTTTTCCAGACGACAAGAATCTGAAAGCACTCTCTACACCATGATCGTTGTAAACTGTAGAAGGCAATGGTTTTACAACGCCTTTTTCGATACCTTGAAAAAAAATGATGTAGTTCATTACTTGTTAGGTAAAGATTCATGAAATACCTTCTTGAAGCAAGGCTTGAATTTTTTTGGCTTCCTCGTTTTCAGAAGCGAATATACCATCCAAATGAACACCGTGAAAACTTCTATTCTTCAGGAACACACTGTAGTCGATGGGAGTATCATTGACAGCATCCACTTTTCCAATTTCCAAAAACCGGCCCCTCCTCGCTATACACCTTATGGATGCTTGGTACAAATCTGCTGCCAAAGAGTTCAACACCAGGTCCACACCTTTACCTTTTGTTTCAGTCATTATTAATTTCTCGAAGGATTTATCTCTGGAGTTGCCTGCAACAGTTGAAGTTAATTGAATTCTATGAAATTGTGAGTGTTGTTTCACAGTTGTTGTTTAACTAATTAACTAATATTCAACTAATAAAAAGGCTATATCAGTTGTATCACCCACCAATTTTTCACATTTCACTCTATTAAGTAAAAATAAAGTTTATGTACCAAAATATATAAGATACATTTTAAACTACTAAAATATTTTGAAGTTGGCAACATTATTTTAATGTAATGGGGTTGGCAATGAAATAAAATGTTGTAAGACTGGTAATTCTAATGAATTTTACCGCCGTTTAGTTTTTTTTTTTACCAAGTATAATTTAAATTAGTGTAAATATAAACTCACATTGCTGTGTGCTTTATATTAAAAAATTAAAACGGTTGAAAAAGTTATTGCTCATCCTAAAGTTACATCTGCTGATCGGCCAATAGAACATGGTCCGGATTGGAGTATTTGAGAGTCCCTTTTAGGCTTTCCAACTCTCTGGCGTTATTTCAGAGAACCATTGATAAGGTGTTATGTTCGCCGAGGTCTGGTAGAGTTTTGAACGTACACTGATGATTTGCTGATATCCTGTGTATGCATAGAGGATGGAATGAGAACATTGAATGAAATTGGGTTCTGGAAATCACTGTTAGAACAGATTGATGTATTTTGGAATTAGAACGCCCTACTCTGAATTTCTGATCGTAGTGTTGGCAATTGATGTAGTTCATAGATGTATCGATATTATCTAACTCATAGGACCTCATAACGAAACGTCATATACATTTCGAAACAAACGCATGGGTTTGAGGATATCAGATGGTTAATGGCACTGATCTCAAAGGCTTTTATGACAAGATTTACTGATATTGACGAAACTTCCAATGGTGGGAGGATAGCCTGAAAGATTGACGTGGGTGGTTTGCCTCACTCACTTAATCAACCGCTGTGTGAACCGGTGGTTCGAACCGCAAGGCCGGACGATCGATTTTCACTTCCTATCGTCCAACTCGTGTTAAGAATCACATGTTAAAAGGTAAGACCTCGTTAGTCCCTAGCTCGCACAACGTTGTTGTTCGTAGGGGGGGACAGCTGGTTAACGAAAAAACAGACAGAACATATCCATGGAGATGCCTTTCACTTGTTTGTTGAATTGAGGAAGCAACTATGTGCTGGATATGCAGTAAGTGTCGAAATTGAGAGTATTGGGGAAATTTGACGTTTGGTTTTGAAAACGGTTAATGTTTCTGATATTGGAATATATATGGAAGGCACGCCATGTCAAAGCTCATGAGGGTACCTGTTTATTGGATATTGAAAGATTTTGCTATTTCTATAAAATGATTGTATGAAAAGGACTATTCTATTAGTGGTCGTTGGATTTTTGTTAGGTATATTACGAAAGCCTGTGTGGGGAATCCAAAGGCGCTGACGGTAGAGCAAAGTCGAATGTTAGGTTTGCATATTTTTGGAAGACCATCAATTGAGGCATATGAGAAGATTTATCTCTGGTAATGAGAGGTTCCTTCTTTTCTGCGGAAATAGTGGAGCTTTGTTCTTCAAGGTTTATTGTAGTTTTCAGACATGTCCCAAAATCTTAATAAGTTTGTTATTAACTGAAGATTAGATTAATTGTGACCTCAGTGTTGTCACACATTTCAGTTGTTGAAAAAATCGAAGGGAAAATATCGAATACTACAAAATTGTAGTAGCTATGATGAAAATATTGCAAATACCAAGGAACAGGAACAAAAAATATCCTAAATAAAGTGTAAGACGTTCCGATAATAATTCTTGATTTATAAAAATTATCATAAACACAAACAGAAATTACAAAAATTAAATAAGATAATGAATCCATTCCTGACATACCTATATTTTTGTCTTCAAGACTTGGAAACATTTTCATGATACAATCTTTCTTTTCCTGGGTGCTCACTGTCGTGAATACTTTAGCTTCCAAGCTAAGAGCAATTGAAATAGCGGCGATACCTATTCCTCCTGCACCTGCATGAATCAGAATCGACTCTCCTTTTTTAATTTTTCCTCTTAGAATCATTCCGTAGTAACACTGAAAAATAATATATGTTTGAAGAAATTGTTCAATGACTGATAAATAGTTCATACAATACAATACAATACTTTATTTTCCATGAGACTTTTTTACAAGCATAGAAATCGTCACATACACAGTAAAGATTGGAGTTGAAAAATATCAAGTGACAAAAATCAAATCAATAGCAGATGTAGGAGATGATTATATAAAACAGATAAAAAAACTTAGTATAAACAGTAGAATAGTAAACAAGCAAACAATCGTGATGTCAAGCAGCCAGATCAGTTTGAAAATATTCATCAAGTGAATAAAAGGCATTTTTGTAGAGAATATTTTTAACGCTATTTTTGAAATTCATGAGATTTGAAATTTTCTTAATGAATGCTGGAAGTTCATTAAATATCTTTATAGACATAACATGAGGTCCGTTTGATACAGATGTTAATTTGTGTACAGGAACTATCAGATTATAATATTGCCTGAGAGTATAACCAGCAGCTATGCGGTTAGTATCCCTTTGCTGAAACTCATGGTGATGATTCTTAATGTAAATGACACAATTTAAAATATACATGGATATCACAGTTAAAATTTGTGACTCAGTAAATAACTGCTTACAAGAATCACCATATTTTTTAAAACACATGATTCTTAGTATCTTTTTTTGAACAATCAACAGATCATTCAATTTGCTTCCGTTACCGTAGCAGACTAAGCGATAATTTAGACTTGAGTAAACATAGACATAGTAGTAGCTTAATAAAATATTAATGGGGATAGAATTTCTGAGATTCCAAATAACGAAACAATGCTTGGATAATTTAATAGAAATAGAGTCAATATGATCATTCCAGGATAATTGGGAGTCAATATTTAACCCTAAGAATTTGACCGATTTTTTCTGCACAATAGATTTAGTATTAGCTCTAATCAACATACCTACTGCAGTCCATTTCTCTAAGCGAGAAAACAATGGTATTAGATTTATTACTATTTAGTACGAGGTCGTTTCTGGCGCAGTAATTAAGCATATTAGCAACTGCGATATCAGTCTGGTCAGATAACCCTTCACAAGAAGAAGAACTCAATAAGAAGGACGTGTCATCAACCCGATGGGTAGTTGGGTGTAGTTCAAACAGAAATTCTAGAGATTAGGGTGATTTTCGAATAATTGAAGCTTCCTTCTTATACAATTATATTCCCTTAATATTCTCTAAAGGAGATCATCAAAAAGAGTCCAAAATGATAAACCGAAACCGTTTTCTAAACATATTTTTGATGGCAAACTGAATCGGACATTTTGATATTGTATATAGAGACAGGTCAAAAATATTGTTGATGTGCAAATTAGATCATCCAGATTTGAAGGCATTCTGAGAAGAATCTCCTTCTAATCGTCTGGTATTGCTTTCAGAAAAAAAGGTTCTAGTAAATAATTGACGTCTCAGACGATACGCAATAAATACCCATCGTCCCAAAGGAGAGATCAATCCCATAAACACAATAGTGATAATTTGATAGTGATATTCCTATTCCAGAGATTCAGTCGATTGGGATTGAATGACACGTTTTAACCGAATCATGATAAAAGATCATGAAAACAAAGGAAAAGGTAATTCCAGTATCGAACTGGTAACTAAAAAATCCAACAGGATATGAGTAGAACTGTCTACTCATGGTAATCACCTTCTGATCTGTTTCATGCACATTTCTTGAGATAGATGTGCAGCTTTCTCCAATTGAAACAGGTCATTAGTTGATAATGAGACTTTACAAAATCGTGAAGCACGTGAACTTTCGTTTCAGGGGAGCATATTTCACATTCCCTCCCAATAACAACCCTCATACCAAAAATTTCATATGGAAATAATCGAATGACATTTTATTTGAAGTATTTTGCACTTATGTATACAAGCCTGGTACATATTTAGCAATAGATCGATGAACAATGTCAGAAAAAAATAGAATACCCTCTTAAGTTTCTCTTCAATTTCAAAATAGATGGTAAACCTGAACACATAATTTCATTACTGGAAATATTAAAACCGAGCACTATTGAATGATAATGATGAATATAACAGAAATGAGAGCTTCCGGAAATCTTATCAACGTTTAATGTTCAAATAGAACACCCTGTATATTATTACATTTTTGAAATCTACATAATTTTCTGAATCCAATGATACCTCATACTTGATATTTTAAGTGTTAAGACGCTCGGTTTATTTTTTGATCTAGAGGGACATGAACGTGAAAAGAATTAATATTATTTCAATTAAGTCAACACACCGAATCAACATCATTGTATGGAATGAAACTTAGATACTCATTTTCTCATATTGTAATTCATTTAGGAAACAAAACTCTTTTAAAATACACAAATAAATCATAACAGCTGTTCGAAATGTAGACCGTCAACATCCAGGCATTTTCGAGCTCTTTTCGCGGTATTTTGAATCACACTGGGCAATTGTTGAGGCGTTATATTCTGAATTGCTTGTCTTACTCGTACTTCCAGGTCCTCGCGGGTTGTTGGGGAAGTTGCGTAGACAATATTTTTCAAGTGACCCCAAATGAAAAAGTCCAACGGGGTTAAGTCGGGTGATCTAGCAAGCCACCTAATAGGACCATGTGTTCCAATCCATTGCTCCCCAAATCTATCACGAAGGTACTCCGTCATTATCCTACTATTGTAGGATTCCACCCTTCTTACGCTATCGGCGTCATACAGATGTTGATGAAGTTGATATTTGAAAGATCGATACTTGTGTTTTTTTACAATTCTTCTTACACTTTTACGACTGATATCCAACTCAAAAGCCAGCTGCCTAAGACATACTGTTTTATCGATTTCCAACCTCATGAGGACATTTATTTCCATTTCTTCAGATGTAATAAAATTTTCATTACCCTCATTATGATCAGGCTCACGTCTGAACTCCTCTTCAAGACGCTTGAAATAATTTCTAGCCGGACATTGTCGGCGGGATATCGGTCCGAGTATACCCGGTGAGCCGCAACTGCATTTTGTCGACATTCCCCATAAATCAATAGCATATCTACTTTGTCGTTTCTGTTATACACTTATGGCATTTTTTACTCATTTCTGTTAGAAATCCGATTGACAACAATGTGTTGAGTAATTAACAAACAGTGTCAGTTTATAGAAATGTCAAAAGTTGTTTGTAATTCATAGCCACCTCAATAACTTGCCTTTATTAAATTGCGAAAATACTTAATAATTTTCATGGCTGTCTAGATCGAAAAATAAACCGAGCGTCTTAACACTTAAAATATCAAGTATGGGGTATCATTAGATTCAGAAAATTGTGTAGATTTCAAAAATGTAATAATATACAGGGTGTTCTATGTGAAAATTAAACTTTGATAAGATTTCCGGAAAAATTACGTCAAAAAGTGCCTCTTTGTAAGCATAATCAATATCAATAGTTCCGTAAAAATAGGTGAAAGAATAAAGAAAAAAGGGGGGTGTACCATAAGTCTGTGTCACACGGCATATTTAGTTTTGAAACATTGAATTTTTTTTTAAATCGATTCGGAACTAGGTACTCATTTCAAAACTTGATACCTTCATAATATATCGAAACTTACTCAATATTTGTTTTGTTCAAGCAATAACAGTAAAACAACAAAATCCGAACATCCGTGTATCTGGAACAGATCTTCAGAACAGTACAAAAACCTCGATGCGTGGTGATAACTGAACATATGCATAAATTTGAAAGCAATTTATTCGACATATCATCGGCTGCGACATGAGTTGGTTTTCCTGTTTTAGAAGTCTACTTTGGAAAAAATACATAGGAGTTTTTCCTGGTGCACTTGTTTCGAAATAATAAATTCAAATGAATTACCGTTGCATATACGACTGGGACTGTCGCAGCTTCTTCCAGGCTCCATGTTTTAGGTACATCCCATAATAATGTGGGATGAGCTCGCACTTGTAATGCCATCCCTTCGGCTCCAACTATTCCCATCACTCTTTTTCCGGAAGAAGTCACTCCAGAGTATTCCAAACCTATATTTACCTCGGGCGTGGTTGGATTTTTGTCGTCAAAGTATATCTTTCCTGTCGCTACCATTATGTCTCTGAAGTTCAATGCTGAGTAGTAAACATGCACCAACGGCTGATTATTACATCTGAAAGATTGAATAACGAATATCAGTTTGGTTAAGGACGGTTAAGGACGTGTTTTAAAACACGTCCTTGTAGAAAGTTATAGTCCATATCATTCCTTATTGGAACAATTAATTGAATTGAATAAAGAATACAAGATAAGACTGTGTTGCCCAACGGCAGCTGTAAAAAAGTGTGGTTAGAGTGATTTATAACAGAAACCAAGAAGATACAGGCAAATTTCTTGCTGTACCAAAATCACATTTTGAAAGAAAGGAATTCAAACAAGAAGAAAAGTGACACTACTTTTGTTATTTTCAAAACAATGGATCAAAAAAACTACGTATTTTAATTTTACAGAACTTCTTGATGGGAAAAAATACTGTTCAAGCAAAGCAACAGCTTGAAAAGTGTTACTAGGACTCCAATCAGAAACAACAATTGAACGTTGGTTTGCTGATTTCAAACGTGGTCGTAGAGACACCGATGAGGCAGTAACACCAGAAAACATTAAAAAATTCACAAAATCGTTTTGGATAACTGAAAAGTGAAGTTGCATGAGTTAACTGACATTGACAAGATATCAACGTGTTGGCTCTATATTGCATGAGCATTTAACTATGAGAAAGCTCTGTTCAAAGTGGGTGCCGCGCGAGCTCACTGTTGGCCAAAAACAAGAAACTCTTGATTATTCTGAACAGTATTTAGCCATGTTTAAACATGGCAACTGGTGAAACTCTTCCAGAGCCCTCGAAAGCACAACAATCGTCTGGAGAAGTTTTGGCCTCGGTATTTTGGGGTGTGCGTGGTGTAATATTCATCGACTATCTTGAGAAGGGAAATACCATCAACAGTAAATATTATATAGCGTTATTAGAACGTTTGAAGGCCGACATTGCGGAAAAACGACCAAAAATGAAGAAAAAGAAAGTGCTGCTTCATCAAGACAAAGCACAGTGTCACAAATCAATGAAAAAGATGGCAAAATTGCATGAAATGGGCTTTGATATGCTCCGCATATACAATATTCGCCGGATTTGGCTTCCAGCGACTACTGGCTGTTCGCACATCTCAAAAAATGCTCATTGGTGAGAAATTTCGCTCGAATGAAGAGGTTACTGCTAAAACTGAGGCCTCTTTGAGGCAGGAGATGAATCGTTCTACAAAAGTGAATTTTAAATGTTAGAGCTGCGCTGGAATGATTGTGTGGCTCTTGAAGGAGAATACGCTGATGAATAAAGCCAATTTTGAACAAAAAAAAACGCGTTTCCTTTCTTAGGCTCGGAATTTTTCACGACTTGATGGTGATCAAGATGCATGAAACCCGATTTCATCACTGTAAACCCTTTCCTAGGTGAAATAATTTATCGAAAATACTCGATCTACGGCAGTCTCGATAAAGGGAGGATGAAGGGATCCAGAGATTTTCATCATTCCATTCACAGAGGCGCTGAACGCACCCCAAACAACACCCAGTGGTGGTATTGTCGAAAGAAGTACCCCTGAAATGAATCAAGACACTGTACTGGAAAACAGGAGTTTAATGCTATCACTTTTGAGAGACGATATCTCAAAACATGTACTAGCAGGATCTCCACTACAGGAAAGCTTGGCGGCAAAATGGCTAAGCATAATAAGTGAAGAGAAACGGGCAAACATGATTCAGAAGCAGTCTTCAAACCCGAATGAAGATAGTAACACTGAAAATCTCGGCCGCGAAAGCATTAACCAATTTGTCAATTCAGAAGCACCTCTATCTTCCAATTTCCAGCTATCAGCAGGTCCAAATTTGAACCCCTAGGTCGCAATGGGCATTACAGAATTTGTGTTGCGGCGAGACGTCAAACCGTAACTTATGCAGGTTCATATTGGTGAAAGCCTGACGGCGATGAGATTACTTTCACATCGATTTTGAAGGAGAGGGAAAGAAGGTTCGTCAATATTTACAAACTTAGCGTGAGGTGACCTTGAATTCAATGAATATACACCACGTAGAGATTTGTTGACCCAACATGATAGTAGAGTAGGGTCTTCAACCTAACAGTTCGACAGAGCGGACGGCAAAAACGTAACGCATAGCTCTACACAACCAGCCAGACATGAAAAAGCTCTAGGAGATATCAGAAATGAAGGTCAGTAAAATTACAAGTAGGATGTGTCTATTTCGTAACATCTGCTATAACGAACAAAACTTGGAGGGATCAAAAATTACATTTTCTAAGTGTACCCCTCCCAAAGTTACTCTTATAGAGAACCCGTATGTTTCTTGAAGGAAGTCAGCTATCTCTTTCATTCGGGATATATGCCTCTAGATAGCTATACAACAGCTTTGCTTAAAATAACGGATGATATGTTGGCAGCAACAGATACAGATATCTCGTTATTGATCTTACTGGACTACAGTGAAACATTCGACTCATTGAATCCAGAAATACTTATATCCATGCTCAATTATATTGGCTTATCTAAAACAGCCGTTAAGATGACGCAAGAATACTCCACAAAAAGACAACAAATGGTTAAACTATAAGGCGAACTATCTGAATCGGTGAGATTAATGTACGGTGTTCCGCAAGGATCTATACTTGGGCCTTTGCTTTTCAGTTTATATACCTCAAATATACTGACTAAGATCAATCTCTGTAAATATCGTGCTCACGCTGATGATACCCAACTTTATGTACCGTTTAAACCAGAATTGCTGAATGAAGCTGTTGCTGACATCAATACTGAACTTCAAAACATTTATGATTCTTCTGTGAAACACGAACTGCAACTTAGTTCTAATAAAACGCAAATTCTTATGTTTGGTTCCAAGTTATTATGCCAAAGTTATTTACCTCAAGTAAATATTTCTCTGAATGGTAGAACTCTAAATATAGTACCGGAGGCAACAAATCTCGGCTTGATGTTCGATAATAATTTCAGGTTCAAAAAGCAAGTTTCATTATATATCCAGAGAGCTGACGCGAACTTAAGATTAATTTCCCCTCACCGAGCATACCTAAATACTCATACAAAAACCAACATATGCCAGACTTTCATTCTTTCACAGTGCACCTACTGTTTACCTGTATATTTTCCCTGTTTGGATAGTCTAGATTTGTGAAGGATACAAAAAGTCCAAAATTCCTGTTTACGCTACATCTATAGCATCCGTAAGTTCCAGCATATTTCTCATAAGCTTTCTCAGTCGCAATGGCTGTCAATGAAGAATCGTTTCTTATTGCAATCTCTAACCTTATTTCACAATATAATCATCAACAAATCACCGCAATATCTTTATGATGAAGTTCGATTTCGTGAAAATGAACATGAAGTGAATTTCCAACACAAAAATACAATAACTGCCCCCCACCACAGTACAGCACTGTTTAAGAGATCGTTCAGTTTTTTTATCTACACTCATTACAATAGTCTTTCCACACACCTAAAAAAAATTGAAACTGCTACTTTTCAAGCTACAGGCTCGTAACTGGCAATATGAAAACAGCTATCGTACAACTAGTCTCGTATAAAATGCAAAAATTCAAGTCATTCTGTAAGCATAATGAATTACCCCTCTTTTATTCCTGTAATTTTTTTTTCTCTCTCTCTCTCTCTTACTACATAGGCACTATATTTTTTGTACCTTAATATGTTTTATGAAAACTTTAAGTTTTGTATATTGTAAAGGAGTTGAATGGAAGAGCAGGATTCGGCGTGTTGCACATGCTTCTTTCCTGAATTCCGCTCCGGGATTTTACCAAACCCATTGTATTTTTCTTTATGTACTTTCTTTTTTACCTTGTAAAATAAAAGACATTATTATTATTATTTTTTCCACCGTAGTGCGCTGGTTAGGCCCTATCCCCCGAAGCCCTGATACATTCGGGAGGGCGCGCCAACATTATCAACCAATGACCACTCCCCACACCGTGCGGTAAGTGATCATTGGGTCCGAGACTCATGTGCCCTGAGCAAGCGTAGTGAGCCAAGAATGACAGCCTTCTGCATCTTTCCGGCTAAGACTTCTGCCTTAGTGCGGTGAGCCGGTATGATTTTAAGATTCGAGAGTAGAGAGGATATCATTCCACCAAAGACTCCAATAATCAGAACAGCCATCTTGACAGAGTGATCTGGATAGTGTCTGCGGAGTTCGAAGAGAAAATATATCCGTTTTTACTTCTCTTTTCTGACGATATTCGTCTCGTCAGGAGCTGAAAACTCCACGACAAATATCGTTTTGCTCTGGTGGTCGAGAAGGACTACATCCTTCAGCCCATGCATTGGCTTATCCTTCTGTTTCCGCAGAAGTAAGGTGATCTCTGCAGTTTTTATCTGAGCTTTTTGCTGAACGGGTTCCAACTCGGTGACAGAGTTGTGGTCACCTCGTTCAGTGTCGAAAACTATACCTAGTTCATCAGCTGCTCGGGCAGCTGTCCTAAAGAGAAATGCTCCAATTCCTGCTCTCTCATGGTCATGGACCATGCAGAGAAGGGGATCCGAACTCCTGACGACTTTACAGACTATATCCAGTACCATTCTGTCATGTAGAGGCTATAGACTCAAAAATTCACGGCCTCCCTGGGGGAAGTACAACCGTGGAAAGGACGATTTGGAATGCAAACTCCTATAGAGATGCACATATTTTTCGGGTCTTTACGTCGAGTTATTATTATCATTCGAATTGTCTTAAACAACTCATTATAAACAAATGTTATGGTTAATGTTAAATCATGCAAGAACCAGTTCATATCTAATAGTTTTATTACATTATTCTGACTCTGATGGTTCAAGATTGATATTTATCCTAAAATCACTAAATGAATGCATACGTCCTATGGAGGTAATCGAATAAAAAAAATGAAAACCCTCACCCATGAAACGGCACTGGTTCTGGCCTCTGTACCCATTTAATACTGGACAAATCTCCAAGACTCTCGAGCGAAATGGACGCATTATCAGTTTCCACTGGTTTGATCTCTCCAAGAGGTAAATGAACGAAAGTACCCCAATTATTGTTTCTTAACACATTGAAAGTAAGGTTTTTCTCTAACTGATTGCGATGGATTTCGTCCTCCATTGAGAAAACGACATCCTCTTGGTCAATAAACACACATCGGAAACTAAGATTGGTCGGTTCGGCTAGAAGACACGTTGTCAAACCTACAATTCCACTGGTTGGTTCTCCTTCACTGATAAGATATACAGTGTCTTCCTTATCGTATAATTCTTGTAGTTCCTTCAACCAAGACAATTCGTTATTGGATACCTTGATAATATGACGATCCTTCGGCAGTTCTCGTTTTCGACGAAGTAGTTGTACGGCGGCAGAATCAGAGCCCCCTTGAAATATCTCTATTAATTCATCCGCTAATTCATCGGGAATGGTTCCAATCCAGAGAATAAACCCGGTATCAGTGAGACTGTTCAAAACTACCTCATCCAGTTTGAAACCTTCTCCCGTAACAACAATATCGAACTGGTTTTGGCAGGAGGGGGCTGGTTCTTGAAGTGAATATTGGCTTAGACATAAAACTTGTTTGTCCAGAATTCCTTTGATGGTGGCCTGCAGATCTATTTCAGTGGAAAGTTGGCCGGTTTGACATATTTTCAGTGACTTACAGAGACCAGCAGTGTTTTGGATGACTATTTGCAAGGCTATTCTCAGGGAGGTGTCCAGATTAAGTTGTTTATTCAACGGAGAAGTGTAATAAATGAAGTCCATGGTTTCGTGGCAGGGGTCAGATTGAATTTGCTGTCTTCTAGGCGCTTTAGTGGTTCTCAGTCCCATTATTTCAATTCCTCCGGCTCTCACTATGCCACAGTAACGATTACTTTCTAGTGGAAGTTCTGAAACAAGAAATTGGAAACGTGATGCTTAGTTGAAAACGTTTTGTTGTATTCTCACTCTTTAGAGTAAGAAATGGTACTTGAACAATTAATTGAGAACAATTGAGAACAATTAAACAAAATAATTTTTGTGCACACTGTAGAATGCCTATGTGGCTGATATTCGAATTAGTATTGATTAGGATATGAATTGTATCAAATAAGCCGAAAACACCATGAAAAGTGACTTGCAAATTATTTACATAACTTCAAAAAACATACTTTCAATCCGAATACATGTAAGTCTCGGATTCAAGGCAAACCATAGGTCATTAGCGCTATCCAAATAGAGACAACAATCCTGACCATACACAATGCATACCTTGAAGGCCTTCCAGGAAGGAACACTCCCAATTTATGATGGCAACCAAATACTTTTGTGAAGTGAAGGAGATCCCACACGCAATATAGGTCCGTCAGATCATAGACCACAGCATTAATTTCAAGCAATTATTCCACTTTGTGTCAACAATGAATAATATTTTGTAGAAAAATGTTTGGAAGGGTCGAAGCTGAATTTTCTTAATTTGATTTGATGAGTGACACTTTATTTAGAAGGTCTGTCGATTCTGTATTCGTCAGAATGTTAGAGAGAAATAAATATATAATTTCAAACTAGGAAGTGAAATTGCGAATAGAAAATTACTGAGCACCATCAACTTGCATAAAATGGGTATAAGCAAGTTTTTGTTCGTTTCTTTATATTCTGAAGAAAATCAGATGTAGCCATGAGCACCTGTTAATGATGTATTTGAAAAGTAAATGATAGGAAAATATTCAGTGAAGGCAAATTGGGAGATCTGGGTGGCCATTGTTGGAACCACCTTCCAATTCATCTAGAAAGTTATCGAGGAACTGTCACACTGGTACTACGCAACAAGATGAGTAGCCTCATCTTGTTGAAAGACTACATTTTCAATAGAGGATCTATCTGGATGGCATTGTTAATGCTCACTATAACTTGTTTATTGAGAAAAGTGTAATATATTTCGCCATTTAGGTGTTCTTCTAAAAAGAACGGTCCTTTGATATGGTTATCCAAAACTCCAGTTGAAACAGTGTTTGAGGACATTGGGTATGAATTTTGCCTTCCAGATTGGAATATGAATCACTCCAGTACGGGAAATTTCGATAAATTAGGTAAGGGAAACCGAGAAACCTGAGGTGTATAACAAAAATGAATTACGGTCAACACGTTCCAAAACTTGAACTTGAAAAAGTATTTTATAATTGTAATGTAAAAGATGTTACAGATTTGGATATAGAATTGAAATACTTTTCAAATGAGGTGTCATTCGACTATTATTTCTAATTTGCAGTTTTGACATGAGGGTTGTTATGGGAAAGGGGTGGTTGAGGGATTTCTGCGTAGAAATGTGTTACCTTGAAAACGAGTTCAGCGATTTTTTATAGTCTCAACAACAGAAGACTTGTTCAGGGTATCTCATTTCAACTATACACAATTCATACGATTGACCAGTAGAAACCCCTCGAGTAGTAAGAAACGATCGCATTAAGCATTAGTTCAGTATTAATTTATGGACTGTCTTCCTAGAAGCAGTATCTTCAAACTTGCCAAGATCAAATGATGCTCAACCACATTTTGCCACCAAGTACGGCAATTTTTAACAAATACCTATCAAAGAAAATGGAAATGAAAAGAGGTGGAAAATGTCTTGGCCACTACGTCCCTAAATCTGAATTCTTTGATTTTTTCTTTGAGGCTATATGAAAGTGTGAATCTATGAAAATGAATGTAATAATCAACAAAATCTCAACATTTAAAAAAATCTGTTTTTCCGTTAATCATTCCACTCTGCCGGATATGCATTTGAGAGGGAGCCATTTTGAGGTGATGTCCGATATTTCACAAGACAATTCCTCAGTTATTTATAAGGTAAAAAGTTCACACAAGCATGGGTTCGTAAGACCTTCTTTTTTGAGATACAGGATGTTGAAAATGTATTATGTATTTACTGGTGAATAAATTTTAAAATAATGTCGATATTTGGACAAAAATTGGTCTTTGGGGACTTTTTAATATGGGAAATTCTAATTTGGTTTTAGTTTGACATTTAATTGTATGGGGCGCCACCTACAGGTCTTCATCTCTTTTGGGGAGTTACAACTTTGTCGTACATATATGTATCACATTTTTTACAGAAAAATCGCTTGTCAAAATTCGCTACAAACAGCCGTTTTCGAAATATTTTGATTTAAATAATTCGATGCATGCTTTTGTCGAACAGTGAAAAAATATTGATTGTTTTTTTCATTCAACTTAAAAACATTTCAAACGCTTATTCCTAATCAATAATCAACGGAACACTAGATCTGAATCTAACTCAAAATCACAATGAATGTTCGAAATGTCTACCTCCTGCCTGTAAGTAAGCCTCCAATCTTCTTTTCATTGATTCACTCACTCTATGGGAAATTTCTGGAGTATCTTGAATCGATCTGCAACAATTAGTTATTTGATTTCTCAATTCTTCATTTCAGATATGTGTCTGATAAATTGAAGATTTTAGGTATCCCCACAGAAAAAATCCAAACTGTTAAGGTCTGGTAACCTAGGAGGCCATTGTTGAGGCCCCTTTCCGACCTATACAATGGTTGCCGAAAGTTTGATCTGAAAATTCTTGCGCTTGAATGCTAAAATGCGCCGGGGCCCCGTCATGCATTAACCACATTTCATTTCGTAGTCTAAGCGGCACATCTTCCAGTGGAATATGCCAATCTTCTTCAAGAAAATGACGATATCTCTCTCCGTTTAACCTTTCCAGAATAAAAAATGGTAGAATGTTTAGAAATCTATAGATTAGGTAAAACTCGAGTACTTAAAATGTAGGTACTTCAAATTGTAAAATTAGGTATATAAAGCAATGAATATCTAGAATATGGTTAGTATGGCGAAACACGTGTTGCGTTTTTGTAAAACTGTTCAGTGAAAACCTCACAATGAAGTTTTTTTTGAATACGTCAGCCATATCGTAGCTAAAACTTCACATTTGAATTTCACGTATCATAATCATCACTGATGAAAAACAAAATTATTAACTATAAAAGCTAAACTATTTTAATCATAACCAGTCTACCCTACTTTCGATTATAAACGAGCAAATTTCTGAACTATAATAAATAACACAACAAGGAAGGCCGCAGAACATTCTGTCTCTATTCAATATTTTTTTGTGATTCAAAGTATCCGAAGTTGAAAAGTTTGGGTGAATGTTATATAAATGAATGTTGGAAGTTTCGGTTTCTTTTAGAACAAATTATCCATGTACTCACCATTATTCCTACCGACAATCTCTGAATGACTGATTGGATCGATAACAATTCGCCTCAGACTAGTAGGCAGAGCTAAAGCCCTACTATCACTTACTACAATACTAGTATGTATCATTGCATCCATAAAGCTGGTATATTTTCCATTCCATTCAATTTTCGCATGAACGCCTTGGATGTCGCATTCTGTGATACCTCTAAAAATGCCTTTATACATATACCTCCGTAAGTGGCATTCTTTGTACAAATCTTCTTTACTCATTTTGGAATAACCATCCTCATGGGCTATTTCAGGTTTGATTTTGGAGAATTCCGCATGCACATTTTCAGGTACTTTTACGCTTCCTGTAACGACTATTGAACCTCCTTCGAATATTTCGAAGTAGCCGGATTGTTTCACAATATTAACGAGAAAATGGACATCTTCATCTGGAAGCAAAACGGTGGCACGTTTGAATTTCACATTTTCCATTACAACTGGGAGCTCTTCTATTGACTTCATCAACATTTTTGCCAAAACTTCCCAGACTACTTCCTGAAAAATTCAAAGTCATGATTTTGTATGAACTATTTATGAACTTCGCAAGTAAAAAATTGCTAATGAAAAATATTTTTCTCTGAGAAAGATTTTTCGAAATCTGACTTTGATGATGCTGTAAAGAAACTAAAGCCAAAAAAATCTGCAGGTGTAGATGGTATACCGCCGTATATAATGAAGGGTTGCCATGAATGGTTACGTCACCCACTACTCCACATATTTAATATCATAATCAACAATGCTGATTTTCCGACGCAATGGGAAACGTAATATAAAAAATTACAGAACGATATTTATTATGTATGCTCCTTGTAAACTATTTGAAAAGATAATCCCGATGAAATTGTACGGCTGTATATAGAGAAGGTGCCTTAGTTGAGCAACAGCACGAGTTTATGTCCAACAGATCTATCAACACAAATTTGCTATTATATACCAACGAAGCAAATAACTCCTTAGAAAATAAGGTTCAACTGGACACAATATTCATGGATCTTAGCAAGGCCTTCGGCAGGGTGGACCATGGTGTTTTGCTGCAAAAGTTATATCGATTTGGACTCTCCGACAATATTATGAATCTTTTTAGGAACTATCTTCAGGACCGATACTTTGTGGTTAGCCATGATGGAAATACCTCAGGCAAATCCTATGCTTTTACAGCAAGGTTTACCCCAAGGTTCAAACTTATAGACCTTATTCTTTTTGTTATTTATTAATGACTTGCTGGATTATATCGAGCACTCCAAATGTTTGTTTTTTACTGATGATGTAAAATTTTGAAACAGGTGAGATCAGTCAGAGATTGCTCCGCCCTACAGAAAGATTTGAATAGTTTATTGGTTTGGAGTGTTCGATGTAAGTTAGATTTTAACCTAAAAAAAATGCCAAGTTATGACAAATACCCGCCAAAGGGATCCCCTTTCTTTTGACTATCGCATGAAGAACGAATCGCTAAAAAGAGTGCATGAATACAAAGACTTAGGAAAAACCTAGTCCTAGCATTTAGTTTTTTTGTTATTTCTTATTTTATTTGTGTAGTTGCGAGTTGTACTGAGGTACTGCTTGTTGTTAGATAATAATACATCCCCATATTACATTATTTTATAAAACATATCATTTCAAGTGCTTGTATATTCATATATATTTCTTAAAATGTATCCTTGTAATCAGGCCACCAGGCCTGTTAGAGTGAAATAAATAAATAAATAACCCTTCTAATTCCTAATAGTGAATTCAAATACTTAGGTTTCATGGCGGATAATCGTTTATCCCTTCATGCTCATTTCGATTATATATACAAAAAAATTACTACACAAATATATTTTTCTCAAGAATATCATCTCAGCTTTCGATGTACTCAAAAGTTACATTATATAATTGTATAATCCAACCCCATTTTGATTATTGTGCTAGTCTTTTATACTCATTTGACCAAAATAAGGTATCGGGCTTACAAAAGTTACAGAATCGTGGAATGAGGATTATTTTACAGGTGAATAGGTATACCAGTATATCACAAATGTTAAGTACACTGCAGTGGCTGTCTTGTTTCCCAGAGACTGTACGAGTTAGCAATGATATTCTTTTTCAAACTAATACATAACTTGCTTCCAACTTATTTTTAAGAATTCTGTGTATATAAATCTCAAATCCATAACTACTTAACGAGAGCGAGTAGCTCCCAAAAATTCCACCTTCCTCGAACTAAATTGACTAGTACGATGAAGTCTTTATTTTATAAAGGTTTGAATGAGTATAACAAATTCTCACTTTCGTTGAAAGATGCAATAAATGTTTTTCAATTCAAAGAAAAACTCATGAACTATATAAAATCTCATTCCTGCTTTTCTTTTTTCTGTTTTGTAATATATTTGTTATGTACATCCTCATGTTGAAACCATTCTGGAATCATTGAAAAATGCGTTTCTTTTTTTTTCTTCTATCATTCATCATTTTTGATATTCATATGTTATTTATTTATATATTTTTAAAATAATGTATGTCTTTTACGATGTCGTAAAGAAATCAATAAATATTATTATTATTAATTTATTATAAGTATAGTTCAACAAAATGAAACAGTTTTATTTCCGATACCAAATGAAAAACAATGTCGACAACTATTTCAATTGACAAAATTGACAAAACAGTTTCATTTCCAATACCAGATGAAAAACAATGTCGACAACTATTTGAATTGACAAAATGGTCACGAATTAGGTAGAAAGGTAAGTCTAAAATAAGTGGGTATATTCGAACCCTCCACTTCGACCCGCGTGGGTGTATTAGATAGGTACTTTATTTGACTACATTATGTTGAAAACATTTGTAACAAGTTGTAATACATGAACATACCCAGCGAGAGGGTACACAGTGTTTATAAACATGATAAAAAATATATATAAATAGAGTTACTGATATCACAAGCATAATAAAACTGTCCTAAACGTAGTACATATAAAAATAATTGCTAAACTTTACTTGTACTAATACATGATGAGAAACTAGAAGTTTGAGAAAATGTACCTACATAAAAACTAATTGTTGTAAAAGTACAGGTGGCCAAGTTTATTTCCGTCAAGAATCTAAAAAGAGATCTTAATGAAAAATCATTTGATTGTTTTTTTCTGAATTTTCTATGATTCATATTTTTCACCTCATTTTGAAGTTTTTTAAACAAGTTCAAATCAAGGGAATTACTAACTGATGTAGAAAGCCTAAACCGGGTCAATATCAGATGATAATTATTTTGCAATATTCTTAAAAATATATAAATGAAACTCGTAGATATATACAGAAAACATTGTCATGATTTTCAATTCACCGAAAAAATGTCTGCAAGAATCGCATAAACCAACAACAGCAATTATCCGTATAGATTTTATTGACACTTGAAAATTTTAGAAGATAGACTGGAGTTACCCCAAAGCCTTATACCATAACAGATATGGGAATGGAATAGAGAAAAATAGGCTGTTCTCAAAGCAACGCAGCTGAACAATGAACTTGTTTCATGATTTTTGGTTTATAGTTCATTTGATAGCAATTTCAAATTGAAAAATAGTGTACTTTGTTGCAGCTCTCTAAACTGCGTTGTTTCCCCGTAATTAATTATTAAAAATCGGATTTTCTAAGCTCGTGACGTCACGGGCCTAGTCCCGCTTCTTGTTCGATTGACCAATAGGGACAATACAAATAATGAACATTGCCAAATTGTAAAATTCAGGAAACATAAAAACAGTTTCTGATTCATTCGTGATTCAAAGTAAAATGGGAAATTCATTGGAAGGGAGAATTAATTATACATGGGATCCAAATAACACAAAACGCAATAAAAACGTTATTTTTGAAATATCTCTGGCAGTAGACATTTTCATGCTGATATCACAGAAATTTCAATAATGATATATATAACCTGTTTGTTTGAAGGTGGTTGACAATGTTTCATGGTGTATTTCATCAGTTCACTCTTCCATTGTCTAATATAATATAAATTGATTTGATAACCCTGAAAAAAATTAAAAAAATAACCGAAAGTAACAATTCTATTAAACAAAAAACTAAAATTACAAAGAAATAACATACAAGCAACAACCAAACAAATAAAAATTGAAATATTAAAAAAGTTGGAAAAATTGAAAAATTAAAAATATTATTAACAAAAAATGAAAAGAAATGAAATTAAAAGATTTCAAACCAAGTTATGTCACAACGTTTCGATTGTTAGTATCCACAATCGTCTTCGGGTGATAACTGGTCTTATTCCTCCGAGATCTGACTTTTTATAGGTCATTCGAGTGCTTTTACGTATCCTCTCTTCCCTCTTTTCGCTTCATTGGTTTTGGCGGGAGGTGACCGTTTGGCGGGAGATGACCGTTTGGCGGGAGTTGGTCGTTTTTCGCATATGGAAAGCTCTAATCAAACGAAAAACGACCAACTCCCGCCAAACGGTCATCTCCCGCCAAAACCAATGAAGCGGAAAGAGGAGATAGGTGAAAGCACTCGAATGGCCTATAAATAGTCAGATCCCGGAGGAATAAGTCCAGTTATCACCCGAAGACGATTGTGGATACTAACAATCGAAACGTTGTGACATAACTGGATTTGAACTCTTTTAATTTTATTTTTTCATTTTTTGTTAATAATATTTTTAATTTTTCAATTTTTTCAGCTTTTATTATTATTTCAATTTTTATTTGTTTGGTTGCTGCTTGTATGTTATTTCTTGGTAATTTCAGTTTTTTGTTTAATAAAATTGTTATTTTCGGTTAATCTTTTTGATTTTTTTCTGGGTTATCCAATCAATTTGTATTATATTTGACAATGGAAATCCGAACTGATGAAATATGTATATAACCCGTTAACATTTAAATTCATGAAAAAAGTCTCCATATGAAATAAAATGTTTCGTCATTTCATTTCGATTCCAGGACATCGTTGGCGGATGCACATCTTCACCATAAGCAGGAGGTTGCATATCTTAATGAGGATCTTCGAATTTTTTCGAATTGGGGTGAAAATAACCACGTTCAATTTAATGCCAGAAAACCCAGGCATCGGTTTTCTCCGAAAAAATAAATGTCAGATAATTCCCCTTTCTGCTTCGATGTTTGTTGGGGGTTAAAATGGACACCAATATGTCTCGGCACAATCATGTCGCTAGAATTGCAAAAGCTGCTTCCCAAAAACATGGAAGACTGTTCCGAACCAGAAAACTGTTCCGAACCAGAAAACTGTACACACCTCAATATTCTTCGTTGCTTTATAAAGCTCAGATGGGACCTTTTTGGAGTGTTGTTCTCATGTATGGAGATCCGCCCCTAAGTATTCCCTGAAGCTGTTGGATTCCATCCAGAAAAGAACCATCTGCCTGACTCGAGATGTGTTCAAGTGACTTGGCACATTTAATTCCACCAAGAGTAGACGGACTGTGGCTGCTAATCGTTTTGAGGATCGACTCAGTGCACCTCGAACTTCACTGTTCACTGTTTCATTCGTAGAATTGCGTTTATGTGGAATAAACTTCCTAAGAACGTTTTTCCAAATGGATTTAATCTCCAGCAATTCAAATCCAACGTGAATCACTACTTTCGCACAGGCACATCTCTTAGAGCGCTTCAAGGATTTTTCTGTAGTAAACAGCAACATTGAGTTGTCTCAATAGGTATAACTAGTTATGAAGCTTAGAAGTCAATGTGTAGATGTGACCATGCCATTTCAGAGAGCCTTAGAAGCCTGTCTTTTCCACCCATTTGATCACCAAATGATCATCTTCAAGAGCAAGATTAATCTTTCTCTTGAAGATGATCACTTGGTGATCGAAACACGTTTCGAGATGTTAAAAATAACGATTTGGTGTTGAGAAAAAACTCCAGTATAATTCATTACTATACCAAAGGTTCCAAACAGTGTATCATAAAACTTACTTGTATCGCTGATAGTTTTCAGAGTCGATAGAGTAATACGCATTTTTTTCAAGTCATTATTGAAAATTTTTATGTAAAGTTTTTTGCCCTCGACTTGTTCCACTATAGAAGAATGCTCATAACAAAGATTAAATGAAATGGTCAGAAATTATTTTCAGAAAGTACCAATATCAGAAATGATATCGCATTTGAAAAAATGAAGTATACAGCTGAAATTCCCTCTTGAACTCGCTCGAAGCTAATGTTGAGAAATTGAATTACAGAACCTTTTTTGAGCATTAAGAGTTTTTTTCCAAGAACTTTTATGAATCGTCAATTATGATCTGACAGGCCTATCTCAACTGTATCAACTTGGAATATTGTCAATACATATTTTTGTTCACGTTCCTGGATCACATCTTGTACAGAGTGGGCTAAATTGGACACTTTTAAAAGGGAAAAATCTGTTTTCAAACTAGATATGTGAAAACTGGTGGCTGTGTCTGAGGATCAAATTTTATGACAAACTCAATGGTGAAAACCGCATATCGATATCTATAATGGTTTCTGAGTTGTAGCATGTTTTTCCAAAATGTTTGTTTCTACCTGTTCTGTCTGTTTCTGTTTCTAACTGTTCTGTCTGTTTCTGTTTCTAACATTTCCAAATCACTTTTTTCGTAGTATTCAATGGTGTAAAAAACTTATTTTTTCAAATGAGATATCAATAGTTATGGATGGAAAACTATTTTTTTCAATGTTCCTGCATATTTCAATATAGAGCTTAAAATTACTTTTCCAAAAATGTAGCATACTTGATGTTTGCTAGATTCATCTTTGAAACTAACTAATCTTAGTCACACAAATTCAAGCCATACGGTACTAGAAGAGTTCATCAACTCAGACCCGGAGATTTTGAACGCCGCATGTCTGTTTGTTAGTGGTTCCTGGGAAGTTATAATCAAGTGTTTGATTTTAAGTTAATTTGAATTTGGATAGACGAAGCTTATGTCAATCCTCATTCTACTGTAGAGCAGAGAAGTCAAGGAAATTTGATTTAGTGTGTGGGCAGGTGTTTTCAGAGGTAGACTTAGGGGGGCCCGTTCATTTATAATGGCACTGTCACATCTCAGAAGTATTTAGAAATTTTAAGGCAAAACATTAAACCCCTTGTTGATGAATTGCCACTAATGTAGCTGAGAAAAATATATTTCCAACACGACGGGGCTTAGCCTTACAACGCTGGAATTTTCACCATATTTTTGGCTGCAAATTTTGCTAATAATCGAATAACCAACCAAGGACATATAATGTACCATAAGATTGTTTATCCTAAATAAATCTAAATAAAAGTCCGCGACAGCATATATGTACCTCTTATGTGTTATCCACTATATGCAAAATACTAAACCATAAATACAATTGAGTTGGACACTTTTTTACAATGCACATTTTAGAATATCTGTCAAATTCTAATAATAATTGATACAATTGTCGTTTCAAGTATTTAATAGAGATAAACTTTGTCTCTTACACTAAGAAATTTGGACGAATCGTTTAAAAGTTACCACGATAAGATAAATTTGACGGGACGCCATTACGCGTCGCGTTTACTGGAAGACGACGGAAGACGACGCGCGGGACGACGCGCGGGGTTAGAGTGGCGGTCTAAGCAATGAAGCGTGTTCGCCAATAACTCGACCCGAACGCAGGCAGACGAGTGCGGGCAGACGTCGTTGACGGTTGTGTTAGTTTTGCGAATTTCTTTATAGGTAACATAATTTGATTCTCGAAGCTATTCATCACTTAGTGCAGTTGGCATATTTTTCGAGTTACTGTATTTTTGAAGTAAATATATGAATTACTAGCTGTTGCCCGCTCTTATGTAAACGTACAGCCGAAGCTACTTAACCTAGAATCTTGAAATATATAGGTAGGTTCTTTGTATAGCATAAAAATAAGCATCAAGAAAGGGAATTTCCAGGTGGAAAAATAGTGGTTCAAAGATTATATTCAATTTCGTTAGTTTTGGAGTTGGAAACCTGAAGTTTTGGGTTATTAAAAAAATATTGTAACTATTTGTTTAAAATGATCTGTCACGAAACTTAATGTAACAAACCAAATTCTAAGCGGACGAGGCCGCGGTCCTCAACTAGTATAGTATAAATTTTCATCAGTTAAATTGGAACTATGTATTTTATTTACTGCTGTGAAAAGCTTTCAATGGTGATCAGTTGCTCTCAAGTTTTATTGAAGTATGGTTTGTGGTTAGAAGGTCGCTTCATTTGGAAAGTAAAAAACTTGAATTCATGCCTGACAGAATAAATTCAGTAACTTTAGAAGCCCTTGCTGATGAACGTGAAGGCCATTACTTCTTCCATTAGCAAGACGCCATCTCCGAGGTCAAATATCAAAAATCAACGAGGCGATCCCCAGGGCGATCTGTTGCTGCAGCTTTCACAACTAGATGAAAATCAGAGCTCAAAAACAAAACATTCGATATTCAACATCAGATCGATCTGTTTCAACCTAGTATAGGGCTCATCAATGATGATATGCTGAAACATGAATGCATTGTTAAACTCAACTGACTCTAAAGGACAAGTATGAACAAGTGAAGGCGATGCCATCTCTATCTACGAAGATGCCATCTTTGGGATCGACAGAAGACCTGATCCTCGAAAATAAAAGATGCAATGAACCGCCTTGGGAAGCCTCATTTATCAAACGTATTAAAAAAAATAACAAGTTTACAAAATCTTAACACGTGTTTCGCCATACAATGGCTTCTTCGGACGTGTCTTTACAGTAAAGACATTGTATGGCGAAACACGTGTTGCGTTTTTGTAAAATCGTTTAGTGAAAATCTCACAAAAAAGTGTTTTTGAATATGTTAGTTATGGATTGTCATCAAGTATCGGCCAATTCCATCATATGCCTCATTTATCATTGATATTTTCAGGGATTGAGTCTTCTGTCTATCCCATAGGTGGCGTTTTCGAAAAGGGAGATGTCATCGTTTTTACTCACCCGTGATTGCCTTTCAGTGGGTCTAGCATCGCGATTGTGATTCAAATTAGCACTGCGGATGGCGGTTTGAAATAGCGCTGTCTGGTGTTAGATTAGTAATGCTTTGTGGATCATGGTAAACTGAGTTCAGAGGGTAGCAAATTTCACATCTGCAAATGCAATTCCAGATGGGGAATCATCAAGAAACGTCTACGTGACTTTTTACTATTGGAGCACTGGCTTATAACTTATGGGCGCCAGTCTAATTCAATTGGGAAAATTACATATACGGGGTTGTAAAATGTAAATAACAATAAAGTTTCGCAGAGTTGAGTGTAACTAGCTAGCTGATAACTGGGCCATCACTTCTCAGGTTAGTGACAAGGAGAGATAATACCGAGAGGTTTTACAAAATGAAAGTACTTAAAGGAGGAGGCAGTGTGAAAAACTGGATTATAAGTAAATGTACCACTCGTCTTTAGTCTTTACTGAATTAGGCAAATATCAAGTTGAGTAGAAGCCAATTTTTGCATAGTTTGTGAAATAATATTTCAACTTTTTTTGAAATCATGAATTGAGTCGGACAAAAAAAATTTTTCCTCAGTTATCGAGTTAAAGTAGTGCTTCATTTATTGTTAGAACCCGAAAACACCACGCTATTTCAATTTGTTTTATTGGACGGTTATTACTTGTGAACTCACGAGAAACCCAACAAAATTTTTAAATGAAATATGGAAAAAAAGGAAAATATTTTACCAGGTATCCAGTAGCAGGCATCAATACTCTCCCATCGATGTTATGTCCTTCGAGGTAGGAGTATTTTTCATTCGACAAGTTGACCGTTACTATATTACCGAAATAATCTTCGTGTGTCCAAGCAGTGGTGAACCAAGTTATTGCGTGGTCCCATTTTACTAAAGGCGACAACATTGGAGTTCCTCGACTGACAGGGAAAGTTACGCCTGGGTAGAGATTTCTCAAATTTGGTTGTTCCCAAGCAAGATACATCCTGAAAATAGTAAAAATGTTGTCAAACAGAAGCAATTTGTATCTCAAAACACTGGACAGTAATGTCAGTAGACAATTTTTAGATTTTTCGAATTATAGTTTGCTGAAATTTTACAAATTATTTGAAAAATATTTGAGAAATTATTAAACATTTCAGTTGATACGTCGAAAAGAGTACTTCGACCACGCCACTGAAGATGGCTGCCGCAGTTGCCGTTGAAACGTTTGGAGATTATAACCAAAGTAGGCCACGGCAAAACCCGGAAACCAATCAAAACATATTATACATTATTTCAAATTATGAAAGGATATTTATATACAGTGCATTTCTTTAATGTTCCCCCTTTTATTTTTTGAACGGGTCAACTCAAAAAATTGAAATTTGGGATAGTGAAATTAATGCATGAATACTTTATTTTGAAGAGAAATTGACAGATGAAACTTTCAAGATGGCGACTGAACGTCATCTCAGACAAAAAAATTCAAATTAAATAAATAAGTAAAAAACTTGAGGTCAGTTCAGAAGATGCTCGAAATGCCTTGCCAGATATTTCACGCCGAACATTTTCGAACACAGTAACGTCAATACATCTCCAAATATTTATTATTCTCTGCCGTAGGTATATTCAATATTGAAGCAATTTCAGTTTCGTATGCCTTTTGCTTCATATAGCCCCATTAAAAAAGTCCAAAGGTGTCAAATCTGGCGAGCGGGCTGGCCATTCTGTAGGACCTCGACGGCCTCGACCGGGAAAAGTAGTATCCAAAGTCCGGCCGTACACGAACCACATATTTGCAGTTGAGGCAACCACAAAAGTACAAGAAAAAGTACAAGACAGTGTACGTGGTTGGGTACGACTGCAAGTTTGTGTACGGCGGATGCCGCGATGACTAAATAATCATTTTTTTGTCTCGTAGTATAGGTATGAGAAGGTTTAATATATATATATGGATCCCCTTTCTTTTGACTATCGCANGATATTTTTGCACTCGACGCGCGTTTCGCTAACAAGGTTAGCATCTTCAGGAGAAGCAAATTGATACTGAATCTAAAAACAAGGGTTAGCTGTTTATATACCTAAAGTTTTTTTGTTTGTTAAATGATGATTATCTTAATTGATTTTTCGGTAATTAACTAGTGGAACCACTACCTGCAAATTAATTTTTCCGCTTTTTAATCTATTGTTGCTAAATCAATTTGCAGGTAGTGGTTCCACTAGTTAATTACCGAAAAATCAATTAGGATAATCATCATTTAACAAACAAAGTCCACATCGGACCAAAAAACTTTAGGTATATAAACAGCTAACCCTTGTCTTTAGATTCAGTATCAATTTGCTTCTCCTGAAGATGCTAACCTTGATAGCGAAACGCGCGTCGAGTGGAAAAATGTCAGTTTGGTGTTAGGGTAATTGATCTCTAGAAAAAGTTTTCAAAAATGTGGTTTGCAAAACCACTCACTACCTTACCTAACCCCACGAACACACGGCACTGATAAAGAAATATTGTGAAACGGACAAAAAATTAGTATTCAGTCAGTCCAGCTAGCCGAGTGTTGTTCCTCAACTACATTTGATAGTACGTTTACTAACTATCTGGGCTACCAGGGGCCACAGACAAGAAATGTTTATGACTGTACTCTTATTTTTATTATCGTTCCAATTGGGAATGGATAGACTATACCTGCTGCTTCCGTGGTATATTTTTGTTTATTCACAATAATGCTGCATTTGTTAAATTGCACTCTGTAATTATTTTCTTGTGAGAATAGATATTATTATTATTATAATCTCAAATAGTTTTTTTCTCGCAATGACCACCAGGAGTGTAGAAAACGAAGTGAAAACTTGAAATCGATCTATATCAAAAAGATAAATGTGACAGAATCCACTATATATGATCGCAGGATATCTAATAGTAGAAATATCTGTAAGACATCATAAAAATTATTAAATGAATTCAATGATAAAACGAAAAAAGAGAATATTTCATACCTTTAAATAGAAGGCAATATGCGATTTCTAATAATTCAAAATCATCAGCAAAAAAGAAACTCATGGAATTCCACAGTGATCAATATTGGGTTTAATTTTCCTCGTACCCATAATTGATTAGACTTTATGGACGTATCAGAATTGTCCTCTATACAGAAGATTGAAGATTAAATTTTGTGAGTGTGCCATAAGTGAGTGCGCATCTTACTACAACGAGAGAGTCGAGTACGACATCCCCCTTTCAATTGAAGCAGCGTTAGGACAAAATTGTAACTATGAAAAACTAATTGCCTTCCTACGATGTATAAAGCTGCTGCACCGTATATAAAAATTTATTGTACGAAATCAATATTTCTATGAAATTTGAATTGTCGCCAATAACCCTCGGGGTTATTGGCGACATTAAATAAATGTAATTAAAAAAAAAGATTTAACAATGAAAGTAAAATGCTGAACATTGTCGGAGAAGGCACTGTCGAAGAGTGAGGAATATATTAGGTATACGAGGTTTGTTAAAAAATAAGGTGAATGTTCAAATTTAGCGGGATACTTACATTCGATATGTTTACATTTTCAGCTGTTAAGCATGTTTAGTTTGTTGGCGAGAGGCATAAAAGTATAAAGTGTTTGGCGTGTTCAGCGATTTTGCACAGAATTTACATCAAATTCTGTGTGAAAAATATAATATTTTTAAAAATATCTCATACAACTATTCTCTCTGCATCAGATCACATGAAAATTAGTCAAAATTTTGGGTGTTCGAAGTAATGGTTTCAATTTTGAGTTGTGGNCAACGGAACTCTGCGACGCTGATAACTTTTCAGGAAAAGCGATAGATGAACATTTGTTGTTAGAAAGCGACGATGACGATGAGAGTGTTACCTTAAAAGTGGAGGAAGAGTTGTTGAATGATTTCGACGACTGAACTAGTTACCGTACTTTTACCTAATATGATTTCAGAATATATTTTAGATTTTATGATTCACGTTCCATATCAAAGTTTAATTTGATGATATTGAGAATAAACAAAAATTTTTAATTCGAAAGTAGTTTACCTCAAAAGATTCAGAAAAGTATGCAATCCTATCTGACATGTAGAAAACAATTCGTCTCCTATAACGGTTATAAATCTAAAACATGTATAGCTTCTTCTGGTGCGCCTCAGGGCTCCAACCTAGGTCCTCTTTTGTTTTTATTGTTTAATAATGACTTATGTGAAAGTTTAGCATATGAGCGGTTATGTTTCGCGGTTGACTTGAAATTATAGAAAATAATTTCAAGTCATCAAGTCATTCCATGTTGTGGAATTGAACGCGGTGGTAGTGCACCCGATCACGATCGGAAGGCCGTGGGTTCGATTCCCGCCTCGACCAGATATTTTTCTCGAGAGAATTTATCTGGTTGAAGCTGGGATGATTCTGCAACCGTGTTGAGAATCACACGTTGAAAGGTAAGACCTCGTTAGTCCTTAGCTCGCACAAGTTTCTCAACTTCTGAGAGTTGTCGTTCGTATGGGGGCGACAGACGATTAACGGAAAAACGGATTTTAAACAGATTTTTAATTAAGAAAGTAGGTGATTGTGTAAATCTTCAATCTCAATTAGAATTTCTTGTTGCTTGGTGTAGCAATAATAAATTGAAACTCAATGTGGATAAATTCAAAGTAGTGAGTTATAGTCGAAAAAAAGAGGTTTTTACATTCCCGTATGTAATACAGGATTCAGATCTGCTGAGATGTAATGAGATCAAAGAACTAGGGGTAATATTCGATCATAAATTAACATTTGGTAGACATATTTCACAAAAAGTTGAAGAATCTCTAAGAGCTTATGGTTTCATTGTTAGAAATTGCAGAAACTTTCATGATATTAAAGCCATGAAGCTGTTGTAATTCACCTACGTACGTTCGAAGATAAAATATGCAAGTATCGTCTGGAGTCCATTCGATGGGATTCATAATATAGCCATTGAAAGAGTTCAAACAAAGTTTTGTGAATTTCTAATTTTCAGAATAGATGGTTCTTACCCTGAGGAGAGGTATCAGTAATGATGTCATATATGAACGTTCGGAACTTTTTAGTTTAGTTAGAGCATCGCATCGTCGCTCATATTTTTATTCAAGTTAGTGAATGAGAGAGTTGACTGTCCCAAAATTCTTGAATAAATTAACTTCAATGTACCACGGCCAGCTTCACGATCTCAATCCATTTTTAGAACTCTTAGAGCAAGAACTAACATTATGCCCAATTCCCCAATATATGTTATGTGCACAAATTTCAATAGCATTTGTGCCCATGGTGATTTATTCTTCATTAACCTTCATAAAATTATTAGAATTGCTAACGTGTACTTGAAGTAGGTAGGTAATTAGAATTAGTTTTTCTATTTTGTTCATTTTATTTTTCGTTTATGGTTAAGTATTGTGAATAAAATTTTATATTGCCCTGTAAATGGGTAACTGTTGGACAATAAAGCTATTATTATTATTATTATCATGATAATGCACCTGCTGACTTGTCATTGCCCGTTCAAAATTTTTTGGCCAAAAACAACATCTCAATCATGCCTCAGCCACCGTATTCACCAGATTTGGCCCTTTTTTCTTTTCCAAGATTAAAGAGACGCATGATAGGACGGCGTTTATCGCTGAGAGAGCTCAAGGACATACTGAAAGTGCATTTCAGAACTGCTTCGAGGATTTGAAAAAACGCCGACACAAGTGTATTATATCTGAGGGAACTACTTTGAAGGGGGCAAAAAAATATTGAAAAACAAATAAATATTTCTTGAAAAAAATTAAAATTCACCTTATTTTTTTAACATACCTCGTATAGTGTGTTGGAAAGTGTTCATCTGTCATATTTCATAATTTTTTATGTGAATGAAATATATGTGGGGTACTTGAGATTTTTTGCAGCGATTTTCACTTGAATGAGCAAATGATGTTGCTTTCGTAACAGAAATTTGTATTTGAAGGTAAATAAAGCTTGTATCTATCTATAGAATAGGCATATGAACTTTTGACGAAGAACATATTTTGATTGTAAAACATAAAAAACACATTTGTTGCGTATTCAATAAACCACACTGTATGTTTTGTATCCCTCTGATGATCACTCGAAATATTTACAAACGATATACGATGTTTTCCAATTGTATCTGATAATAAATCATATCACTTACTTTCCAATGGCAGTCAAAAAAAATTGCTCGTTATCCTCCGCAGACCTGTTCAACAAACTCAAATTTATTGTTTCGGGTCCCAGCGCCCTCTTCAAAATAGATTGTAATAAACCATGAGGCGCAATTTCAATAACTAAAGCGCCATCTGGTATTTTTTGGTAAACGTCATTGAAATGGACAGGATTCATGAAATTGTTATAGTGGTACTGTGCACAATTATAGTCCATCCAGGGTTGATGTTCTCCCGTAATCGAAGTAGATACCCATTTGGAACTTCTTGGTTTGGGATTCGGAAATACCTTGTTACAAAAGTCCAACATAACTTGCCCGATGGAGTGTAGATATTTAGTGTGGTACGCAATACCTCCACTCTTGACAAGCTTGGCAAAAATTCCTTGGTCACTTAATTTTTTGACAAAATCTTCCACCGAAGACTTCGGTCCTGAAATTGTTACGCTTTGGGCGCTATTATGGCAAGCTACGAAGATGTCGTCTGGAAGAAGCTTCTCAGTCTCTTCTTTTGATAGGCCTATAGCGGCCATCAGTCCAGGTGGTAATTTTTTGCTCACGCTAGCTAGTCCTCTGGCATACGATATCAATATGGCCTCTTCAGGTGTGAAGGTGCCGTCACAATAGCCGCATCCTAAAAATAAAAAACTAACGAGAGTTCGGAAAAGTCTGAAATTTACGAAATCAAATGTAAGGACTGCTATGCAAAATATTATAGTCAGACAAAAAGATCTATTAGAATAATATATAAGGAACACTTAGCACACCTAAAATATGGAAGACCAGAAAAATCAGCAGTCGCCCATCATATTTTGCAACAAAACCATTCCATAGACATAATATAAATAAGTAAACATAATAATTTGTGATGCACTGTTTGGAACCTTTGGTGTAGTAATAACTATTACGTAAACGATTTGGTGTTGGGAAAAACTCCAGTAATATTGAAACATAATAATATTATGAATAACGATGGTAGGCTAATATCTAATAGTATACTATATACCTTGCTAAAATAATATATTCATTATTAAATTTACCTGACTATTACATAAGAACGCGTTGTAATATTAATTTAAGACTAGTAGCGATAAGGCAATACTATGAAATTGATTCAAGACACTCAAGACGCGGTACCTATAAGAGGTATCTATGATTAAATCAAAATTATTTCGAATCTGAAGGGAAAATTTATAAACAAACAGATGGACTAGCGATGGGATCCCCACTATCTAGCATTATATCCGAAATATACCTGCAAACCATAGATGAGAAAATCTTAACAATATTAAAAACACATGATGAAAAAGGAGAATGGTTCAGATACGTTGACGATGGACTGTACATATCACAAAACAATAGAATAAGAATAGATCAAATAAAAAAAGAAATTAACGAAATAAATCAAAAACTATGTTTCAGCATTGAGGAAGAACACAACTCAAAACTTAACTACCTGGACATAACCATAGGATATAACCACAACAAAACACAATTTCAAATGGCAATATACAGGAAACCTACACAAACAAGCTCCACCAAACCCGCAAGTTCAAACCATCCACCATCACACAAAATGGCTGCCTATAACGCATTCATATATAGAATGTTAAGGATACCACTCAGCAATTAAGCCTGAAACAAAGAACGGAAAATCATATACCAAATAGCGAACGAAAACGGATACACCCAAAAGACAATAGATAAACTAGAAAACAGAATCAAAAAAAATACAGAACAAGGATCAAGCCACCCCAACAGACAAAACAACACAACGATGGACACAGCATTTACGTACGTAGGATACCAAACCAAAAAACTAACAAACATCTTCAAACCACTGAACATCAACATCACATACAAGCCGAACACGAAGATAACACAAAACATAAACAACTATGAAAAAGAAGAAGACAAAGACCAAAACGGAATATACAGTATACAATGCTCGGACTACAACAAATTCTATATCGGCCAAACCAAGAAAAAACTGATCCAAAGGTACAATCAAAAAGGCATACATAAATCCAACAGTATATACATCAAACCTTGCAACACACGCCATACAAAACAAACATAATTTCCCCCACCAGAGAACGTAAAACTCATAAAACAAGTCAACAAGGGAAACCGCATTAATCTAGAAAGGTTAATGCAGTCAAGCTGCTGGAAAATAATTCCATGAAAATCAAAAAATAAAAAGATAAGTACTCTTTGATCATTCCCATATTGATTTCAATTTAAGAGCCACCGGTAGACAGCTGTTTCAGCCTATTGGACATCGTCAGTACCGGACAGGCGGTCCTCGATTGAAGACAAAGTGAGAAAAACCAAACAAGTACTTGATAAAAATAGCTGCGTAAACGCAAGCGAAACATAAGTGGAACCATCTATTGGTGTGACACCCAAGTCATTATAATTTTTATATTTTTTCAGATTGTGGAAGGTAACAATTACCCAAAAAAAGGTCGATAAAAAACTGATTTTTTCCTCCACAAAAAATGACTTTCGTTGAATACAAAAATGAACTTGTGAACAGAAAAATGTTTCATTCAAATCATTAACTACCTCATATTTTACAGAATGAACGTCAGATCCATAATAAATAATGGTCGATGCAAATATCTTCATTGATCTTTTCAACTTCAACAGTAAAATAGAATCATCACATATTAAAAATAATCAAGGTCCCAATATTGGTTTTTTAATCCTCAATTGAAATAAGCTATCAGCCAAAGCGAAAATTTGTTTCAAAGAACAGGTAGACATATCCAATTTCGACTACCAGAAAAATATAGTGACGCCCAACATGTCTTGGAAAACGTTCCTAAAATAAATGAGATACTGTGGAATTATGGAGATCGGCACATGACTGGAATTGCAAAATAATTATTAAAACTTTCGAAAAATCAAGAGAATAAATTACTGATCAAACAAATTTTCAACGTTTGATTTGTTATGTTATGACAATAGTCACGGTGTGCATAAATATAAGTAAGATTATGACACTTGTGATTGTGCGTGCAAAAATAATTGTTAATAATAATATTAAATGGCAAGCCCGGAATATCTCTTATTCACTCTGCCGCAAGCGAAAAGATCGCATTTGCAATTAGATTGAGCAATTTCGAAAACCAATTCACTGCAGGTGAAGAAGAAATAACACAAGGGAAACGCCGTGTTCAGTGTTGTCTGGTCTACTGTTTTAGTATACCGGACTTTATTCATCGTTCAAAAGACAATTGGCCTTAAACAAATCCTTGCATTCTGCTATAGATTCATACATAATATTAAACATGCCTCTCATGCATATTCATGTCATTCTTGGTTTCAGAAAGCAAAAAAGCTGCTTAATTTACCATCCCAACATGAATCTACTTTAGAAATATCAATTTGAATGAATGAAACATGATTACCTGGCTAGTCTCACACCGTTCATTGATAAACGTTAAGAGGCGTCTACAAATATCATCATTTGATGAAAATATAAAACACCCAATATTACATTATTCCAGACATAATCTTACAAGGCTAATAACCAGTCATCAACAAAAGTTATTACATCTAGATCTGGAATTATTGTATATTCGATGAGTTTACCATGATTTTTCAAAAGTTTTAATAGTTATTCTGCAATTTCGGTCATGTACGGATATTAACATTTTCACAGTTATCATTTATTTTAGGAACGTTTTCCAAGGCATGTTGGGCGTCACTATATTTTTCTGATATTCGAAATTAGATATGTTCTACCTGTTCTTTGAAACGGATTTCCATAACTGTCTTTGGTTAGGTTAGGTTAGATCAAAAGTGAGTGGGCCTACTGGTCCTTTCACCGCAACCCGCAAGGGTTTATTGTGGCTCACACCTATTCAAACTCTACCAAATAAACCCAGCATCTTGGCGAAGGCACAAAGTATATGCTCTGCTGTTTCATCATTTTCCAAACAGAGGCGACACGCACTGTCTTCCGACAGTCCGAGTCTCTGCATATGATGATTCAGATGACAGTGACTTGTTAGGAGGCCTGTTAGACATCATAGTTCATCCCTACTGTAGTCCAACAACTGTTTGGTTTCAAGCTTCGAGAGGTGAATCAACACTTTCGAGTGAACCAATCCTAGAAGATTTTGCCAGAAGTCTTCAAATTTTCTTGCCATCCAGGTGTTTAATGTTTGTTTGGCAAAACCTAAAGCAATTCCAATGACAGGTTCTGGTCCGATGAAACTACTTGCAGTACCCTCCTTAGCAAGGGAGTCAGCTGCCTCATTGCCTTACAGTCCAGTATGACAAGGAATCCAGACCAGAGACAATTTTTCAAGTCTTCCTATTGAGGAGAGTCGTTTTCGAAAATTTGCTACCAACTTGGATGTTGCTCGGTAGAAGGCAAGAGATTCCAACACCGCTTGACTGTCGGAAATTTTTTTTATCAATATCTCCAACACACAATTCAATAGCATAGATTTCGGCTTGAAATACAGTCGCATATGTCCTTAGGCAGGTTGATATCTCTGTCCTGGGTCTGCAATTGAAAACACCTGTACCAGAGTCCAAAGGTGTTTTTGATCCATCTGTGAACCAACAACTATCTGCTCTTTCTGCTTTCGGAGGATTCAATCCTCTCTACTGTAGTTGACAGTTGGAGGCACAATGTCATGCACTCGCTCAGTCGGGCCGCTTACTTCATACATTCCCTACATTTCATTTTCCAACATCGTGTCTTTATAGTTGTCTGCTTGGATATTTGTCCTGAAATACCTCCTGTGATAATTATAAATGAATTGATCTTCAGTGAATTTCAAAATTCGTTGAAGTGAGCAAAAAGTCTTGAAAACTACTTTTATATTATTTTTTTTTTAAATGTCATCTAATCCATTGTGAATCTTGATTCATACGGAAAGTATCTTTGATATATCATTGTTGTTTCCAAGTGTCCCTTTATTAAAAACTATTGAATATTTGAGGAATCTTCTCAGTGGAGAGACTACAAAGACTACATACAACCAACACAAATCTGCGTGTAACGATTGCTTCTACAGACAGCATGAAGGCACGGCAATGCGGAATCCACTGTCCCCCTGTTGCAGATTGGAATTGTGAACAAAACTGGAAACAGATTACTTTTCGTGGACTTGGATCCGATATGTAAATGATGTATTTGCAATTTTTGACACAAAGAAATCAAAAGTAGTTTAAACCCACCAACCTTAACTATTCAATACTGGTGAAGTTACTATGAAATATATATATGTCTCTGGATGAGACACAACACATTTTTGTACGTGTGTATGTATACAGGGTGTAACATAAGTACATTAAAATATTCAAGTGACGTATTTCTGAGACAATTTTAAGAAAAAAAGTCTATATGAACTTGTGCCCGAAAATGCTTCGTTTCGGGGATACGGGGTGTTGAAATTGAATTTTTTGTTCGCTTTTTGAAAATAACTCTTGCAAAAAATAAGTTATTTGCACGAAATTCGGTTCCCGGGGTTTTTTGACGTGGGAAATCATAATTTTGTAATAATTTTCATGTAACATCTAGAGGGCGCTACGTACGCTGTCATTATTTATTTCAAATTGCCCTAACTTTTTTGACAGTAAAATTTTAGTACTTTTCATGAAAAAACCTAATTTCCACACCTTTTCCAAGTAAAAAATATACACCTCCTCAACAACGCTGGAGGTGATCGTTTTCGAGATATTTACAATTTTCTATATCGATGCATATTATTTAGCTCCTAGGGCGCTTAGTGAAGTTGCTGAGAACCTTACAAAAACTGAGTATGTGGTGGATCTCGTCAAAATAAACAACTTTCTCCTATGAAATGTTTAACGAAGAATGATACGTTTTCGAAATACAGATTGTTGAAATTTTTCAAAACATGGTAGGTTTTTGTCATAAGTTTTTTGCAATATTAGTTCTTTTCATCAAACTTTATACGCAGTATACCCGTACAGACTTCTTCTAAACTGAGCATTATCGAACTGCTTATTCAATCCAAATAAAAAAAAATGTCAGGTTTAATTATTCAATTAGAAAGTGCTACATTTCGGAGTTTGTAAAAAAACAATTCGGAGAAGTACTATGTTATTTATTAGGAAAATAAACATATAAAAATTGAACGAAACAACTATTACAACACCTGTTCAAAGTGACGACCCCCAACAGTAATACAAGCTTCTGTTCTCCTCATCAAAGAATTCCGCACCCGTTGAAAAATGTCAGGAGTGTTTCTTATCGTTTCGCAACAAGCTATGATGCGATTCCTCAACATTTCCTAGTTTTCAATGAGGATAGCATGAACTAGTGATTTTAGGTGCCCCCAAAAGAAAAAAATCGACGGTATTGAGATCCGTGCCTCCTCTTCCTAACCATCGTTAGGGATATGCTACGTCTAAAAAAATTCTTGCTATCAACAGAATGTCATCGTGATTTCATCCAGGTTTGGAGACCAGCTCCCCTACCCTTTTGGCTGATTGTTGGTCTTGAGAGGGACCAATGGGATCATGACTGAATTGATGACGGCATGAAGTCCTTAGACATCAGTGCCGCCCTTCACGGGATACCCCTACCTGGCTGGGGTGGGATGGATGAAAAAGTTATTCATCCGTTCATGAGGGCCTCATTCGACAGAGTGTCGGGGCCTTCTATATCGGGAGGGGTCGTCTACAGCATAATCTGTGGCTTCCCTAACTAACGGGTTTTCATGAGTTTCCGTTTTTTCGAAAACTCTCTCATTCCTCGACTGAATGGACTGCCGAATGGAAGGCAGCTGCAAATCTCTGCGGATGGCTTCATTCCGCACGAACCAAGGAGCNTGTTGATACGTGGTTGGAAATCACGTAGCGTAAGTGCCTGGACACGCTGAATATGATAAGGATATAATTGTTGTTCCTTTGAAATTCTGTAAACTGTCATGTGACTCACATTTGAAGTTTGACTAATTTTTCTTGTACTTGTCTCTGGATGTTCACTAATTTCTTCGAGAACCGCCTCCTCCAATTCTACAGTTCTTGTAGTCCGTGGCCGTCCTACCGCAGAATTTGTTTGAAAGCTTCTAGATTCGGAAAGTCGCCGGAAAAGATTCGCAAATGTCGCTGCACAAGGAGTCTGGCGTTGGGGATACCTTTCCTGATAGATGCCTCTGGCCTCGCTTGAATTTCCGTCAGCCAAGTCGTATGCAAAAACCATATCAGCCATTTCAGCATTCGTAAAGTCAGGCATGGTACCAAAAAATCACTTTATAAACTCCGAACTGTGAATTTGTCAATTGATAGTTAAAAATGTGAGAGCGAACTTCTATTTTTATAAACAAACTTTCATAGCCTACTCGATTTAATTACCTCAATTTGTAAGCTGAGAGTGACAAAAATTATTGAAATCAAATTTGGCTATAAAGTAATATGCATCGATATAGAAAATTGTAAATATTTCGAAAACGGTCACCTCCAGCATTGTTGAGGAAATGTACCTTTTTTACTTGGAAAAGGTGTGGGAATTTTTCATGAAAAGTACCAAAAGTTTACTGTCAAGAAAGTTAGGGCAATTTATAATAAATAATGACAGCGTACGCAGCGCCCTCTAGATATTACATGAAAATTATTACTAAATTATGATTTCCCACGTCAAAAAACCCCGGGTACCGAATTTCGTGCAAATAACTTATTTTTTGCAAATTATTTTCAAAAAGCGAACAAAAAAATTCAATTTCAACACCCCCGTATCTCCGAAACGAAGCATTTTCGGACACAAGTTCATATAAACTTTTTTTCTTAAAATTATCTCAGGAATACGTCACTTGAATATTTTAACGTATTTATGTTACACCCTGTATACATATATGCATACATACGAACCTCATAGTTGTAATATAAATATGAATAAAGATATGGATACTTGCTACATCAACCGCTCCGAAAATTGAAATGTAAGATGAGAAAATAAAACATGAAACAAAAATTAGTGGAGGTGAAACAAAAAAATTTGAAAATGGTTCCAAAAAAAGAAGAATTATTTGTTGATTGAATTTTCAATGCAAATTGAATGATTTCGTATCTTCAATAATAACAGATCCTTCAATGATGTGCGTTCAATTTGAATCTGCCTACATAAACTTTCAAAGGAAAATCTATAAAAAATATTACTTTAAAATCCATATCCCTACCTACTTCACCCATTGAGTGTCCTGCAAATCCATCTGGACGAATGCCTAATGCGAACAAAACATCGGTTAAACCAATCTGTATGGCAGTTATGGCAATGAAGCAGTTGAGAATATTGTCAAATAATTCTGGTGAATCATTAGTCACAATAGCTTCTAGGTCGATGTCGTAAGGTTTCAAAGCTTCTGCACAGCGCATAAAAGTGTTTCTGAATATTTTGTTGTTCATTATATCTTTGCCCATTGACGTCCACTGGGAACCCATTCCAGAATAAATAAACCAGACTGGACGGTTTTTCATTTTAAATTTCTCAATTTCAGTTACGACACGATCCCCTACAACCATATAACTGTAAAAAATAAAGAATGAATAAATTAAGTATTAAAAAAAATAACTATTCAGTATAAGATATATCTCAAATCTAATCATAGTATGAAATATTTAAAAATCTTCCATTAAGGCAGGAATTCAAAGATATAAGAGTTAGGTTCGTGAAAATTAATAACATTGAACAAAAATTGATAAACCACCTTGTATCTTGGTTATCAGGGATCTAAGAACCATTTAATATGAGAACATAGTCTTTCTCGGCAAGAGTCACGATTGAAGAGAGCAAGATCCGGTCTGTTAGGTCGTGGACAAAAGGAACCTGAAGTACCAAACGTTTCGTCATATACTGCGGCGGACATCATCCGTGGTATATGCGTTGACTGCGAGAACGAAAATCAGATCTCAAAGTCTCAGCAACGACTCATATTTATCTGCCACAGTAGCAGACGAAATATTTGGTACTTCAGATTATATTGAACCATGGTCTAACAGCTCTGATTTTATTCTCTTCAACCATCAAATATAGTTTATTTAGAACCGTCTGGATGTCGCTCATCTGCCCATAACGTATGCGCATTTCTCAATGAAACACCCTGTTCATTCGTTATAAGTGGTACACAAGAAGGAGGGATATGTACATTCGTGTGACGGTTGATGTTTTTAGTCTGAGTTTTCTGATAATTTAATGGCTTATCTATCTTTCACTCACCCTCTTACTTGATGCCCTTCAATATTAGTCCGGTGAATTTCGTCTACGAGGGCTGCAAATTCATCGTCATCTTGATGCTTCATGACACCTTGGAAGAAATGTGATATGGCTTCAGGGTTCCTTCCGGAAGCAATAAATAATCTATTTTTGGGTCTCTGGCCGATCTTCGGTTTCTTTTTTATTTCGTTTGATTTCAATATAACATGAGCATTTGTTCCCAACAGTCCGAATGCATTACATCCCACAATTCCGCCCTTCCAGGGAAGATTTTCTGTTACAACCTAAAATATGACATCGGTTGAAAAAAGAAAAATGGGAACTTGAATTGTGAAGGAATATTCAAAAAGAAAATGTGGAATGTAGTTAGAAATAATATCGTGGTATCGTGGAAAGAATTGTGGTACCATAGTACTCCTTAAGTCAAAGAAAAAAATTGAAATTAATAGATATTTCGAAAACGGTAACAGATAGGTATAGGAAAATATCAAGAAAAGTTGTCGAGTAATTGTTGTGGATTCCAGAAATGATATTATTTACAGGATGTTGTTTCATTTGAAAAATAAAAGTTGCTACTACTTTCTTATGGAAGTGGCGACACCGCATTGTCGAAAATATTTTAGTTGGGTAGCGAATGTCCGAATATAAAATATGCTTTCCATTGAATTTTCGGAGTGATTCGGTGTTACATTCACCAGAAACGGCTAATGTGCCATCCACTGTGAATCAACCTGTATATAATAATAATCCTTAACTTAAGGAATACTATGGTACCATAATTTAATTTGGAGTTAATAATAGTTAATATAACTTTTCAAATCAAGAAAAAAATTCCTGACGGGATTTATGTTCAGATAACACCGTAATCCATCTTTTTTTAAAATTTATATTCAATACTATAAAAAAAATTCATATAGAATACTGGCTTCAGGGACGAAGTGTCCATGCCGTAAAGGGGGTGCGGAGCCCTAGTTTTGCGTTAAATTATAATTATAAATAACGTAGGTATAGTTCCGAGAGTTGCGACTTCTTCATTTCAAATTTCCTATTCCTTCAAAACACTCTGTTTGTATTTCTCAAGTAATTATAGTTTCGAAAATGCCTTCTTTTTTCTCCTCAATTTGTTAACTATAATTGCCATTGTTGGTTGATCCTGAATCATATGTTTTTCTACTCGTTATTTTGTTATCGTGTTATTCTTTTGTGTACTGTGAACCATTGCTGTTGTTGTGTTGCATGGACCCAGGCTCACCTTTATACAGCCCTATTTCATTCATGTTCCTTCTCAATTTAATATTCTCAGTAGGTATAGTTCAAGTAAACAATATAGTGCAATCTACCTTCCAACAGTTCCCATTCAATAATATAGTTAGGTTGCTAACTGATTTCGTTATTTAATAATCATTTCTGATTATATAAGAATCACAATAACAATACTATACTACTTTCTCACATATATATAAATATATAAATCGAGAAAGGTGAATGCAGTCAAGCTGATGGAAAATAATTCCATGAAAATCAAAAGATAAATAAATAAGTACCATTCTGATCATTCCCATATTGATTTCAATTCAAGAGCCACCGGTAGACAGCTGTTTCAGCCTATTGGGCATCGTCAGTACCGGGCAGGTGATCCTCGATTGAAGACAAAACGTGAATTACTAAGGAAAGCACTTGATGAAAATAACTGCGTAAACGCAAGCGAGACATAAGTGGAACCACTATTGGTGTGACACCACAGTTGTCGGTTGATTGGTCAAACCATTAACACTGACATAAAAAACTTGGCAAGTTGACTTGGGTGTCACACCTTTTCTGCCAGTCTTCTTCGGTGTAGATACTTCTTGTCTAATTAGCTTCCATTACCTTCTTTTCAAACTTTAGAAAATTATTTTTGCGCCTGATGCTTTGTTTCAATTTTCTCCAAATCAACTCGATGGGATTGAAAACACAAAAATAGGGGGAAGTCTCAGTATGGTGTATCCATACTCTTTAGCAATACTCTCAAGGGCATACAATTTTTCAAATGTTTTTGTTTGTAAAACTCCAAGTACTTGTCTTTTGGGATAGTAATCTTCAAAATACAAATTGTTATCCATTAAAAAACTTTGTATTTCATCTTTCCTCGAATTTTTATTCGGTACTTTGATGAGCTGTCGCGAATGATAGGAAGCGTTGTCAAGAATTAATACACTATTCGCATCCAAATTTGGGATCAATGAGTTTTCAAACCATTCCTAGAAAATATTAGCTTCCATGTTCTAATGATAGTCAACATTGCAGTCCTCAAGTTTTTTCCACATAATTTCAAAGAATTCGGAACCCATCCTTTACTTCCTCCGCAATGCACAATGATTAGTCGCGATCCTTTGTTTGCAGGCATGTTAGGCGTACACATTCTCGAACCATCAGTTCAACCTTTCGTAACTGTGTCGTGAGTATCATACCAAGTTTCGTCCAAATAGAAAATTTGCCGTTGTTCTTGTCTATATTCAGTTATTTGGTCTAAGCATTTGTTACGCAATTCCACTATTCTTCTGCTTTCCATAACTGCTTAACGTTTGTTTATTTATTTTAAATCTAAATCCTAGTTTCTTTAAACAATTCTGGGGAGTTTTGTCACAGCAGCTCACGTTATCGCCGGAAGTATTCAATTTCTTCCTTATGATTTTAGTTGTAGGAATCTCATTGCCTTTGTAACAGTCGCATATTGTTTTTTTCAATGATTTTATTAAATGAACATCTAAAGATTCTGGTATTCCTGTATCACATCGCGCCTTGCGTTCATAAGGTTTGTTTTTGACTATTTTACTTACAGTTGAGAAAGGAATTTCCGTCAAATCTGATGTTGCTTGTACTCGTAATAGTTTGTTTCCTTCGAAACCAAACTTGAGATAAAGATCCTTATACACATTGAAACATATTCTCTGTGTTTCAATATTCAAATGCATCCGAATCTTATTCGCATTGTTCACCATCGCTATTGAAATCACTACACTGGAAAAAGTCTGCTTTGGTATCACACTCATTATTACTATTAGTACTTGTCCAAGGACGCCACATTTTGAACAGATAACAAAAATTTCAAGTAATTATAACTGCACCAATATCGAATTTCAACACTCAAATCGCGATCAGTTCCTGAACTAAATACGACGGCGATAACCATCCCCGCATTCCCCGATTTCTATTCGTTACCGTAATATGACTCCAGATTTGATTTTATGACTCTTCAGCCAATTGTAAAACTCGGTTAGTAAACATTATCCAATACGAACCGCCAAGTCTTCAATACACGTGGACTAGTTCGCTGCCGGTTCATTTCTATGTATTTTTTTTGCCTCTGAAAGTGCCGCTAACTTCAAATGTGCACAATATTGTTTACTTCTACTATACCACAAATAGTTTCATTATAGAATTTTGAATAATAATTCAACGTATAATTTGAGGGGATTGAGGTATAGCGAAATCCTAATTTGGAATTAGTTCATGTTTTTTTTTGTTTAATAAATACCAAAATCAGCCAAGTCATATATATTCAAATATAAAAAAACGTGTGCGTTTTGGGACGCCCGACAGAAGAGATAACTTGAGAAAAGCTTAGGTCACTACTCAAGTTTTATACTATATATAAAAATATGATAAGGTAAGGAAAGGTTATTTATTAATAAAATATTTCATTCAATATTTTAATATTATAGCTACCTTAAGCAAATTGTTACTTTCGAAGGAATAAATAATGATACTAATAATGTACATACACAAATTAGTATCATCATTTTTGAGCCACGTTTCACATAATAAAAGAATATTACGTGCTTGCTGGTTAGATTTTTATAATAATGACAACAGTTCATATCTAACACAAACTAAACACTGAGCTTCTGAGATTAAGAAACAAATACCGCCAAGGAATGATGAAAGTTATTTTCTGCAATTATCCTTCGTATCGAATATCTACGATATTCCATCAATATTTGAAGTATTGAGATACACGCACATTGTACAGAAAAAGAGATTACCTTGAGTTTGTTGTCTGATATACCTGGCAACGTCATGTCGATATTTTGGGTATGTAAATTCGCAGGTATAACTCCTACTTCCATCGCCAGGATTATTTTGGTTAGGGATGCCAATCCTGATGCAGTGTCTGACATTCCCATGTTAGATTTGACAGAACCAATATGAAGTGGTGTTTTCCTTCCTTCGCAAAATTTAGATAAAGCGTAACATTCCTGTGAGTCTCCAACTACTGTGCCTGATCACAAGAAAAAATACAACATCAAACCAATTTTTCTATGATTCTTCGAAAGTTTAATTTCAAAGATTAAACAAAACACAATAACAATTCATACTTCAATTCATTCAAAATACAATTTATAAAAAAAAATTAAAAACGGTGAAAAGTAAAGTGTGGAGAATTTAATTTTCAATCATTTCCCAATCCTTCACAATTGATAATTTTCTAGTCGAAATTAATTAGTAAACTTTGAAACAAAATTACGGTTTCATCAAGGATTGCCTACAAAACAGAACAAATAGTTTGAAATATGGGGCATCAACACATTAATAAACAACTTCAGAAAGCCACAGGGTTCACACCTGGAACCGTTTTTTATCTTATTTATAAACAATCACCGTCTTTGAAATTTTCGAAAACTGCTTGGTTTACTGATGATCTTGAATGAATCCTCAATAGTAATAATGAAAACATTGGAATGATAAAAAAGTCCAGAAAAAATTTACATATTACCAAGCTCTGGAGTTACTCATAATTATATTTCTTTTCAAAAAAAAAACAGTTTCACTTCACTGAAATTGTGAACGAACGAAAGAAATGAAAAGGCGCACCCGGTGCATCCCTCATTTACGAAGTTCATACTAGGAATGATAATGAAACAAACACAGAACGCTTGGTGACACATCAGGAAACACAAACAATAACAAAAAAAAAGGCATATGGATAAATCGAGAGAAAAACCACAAAGGGAAATTAACTCTGATAATAAAAAATCTGCCTTTTCTCTTCAAGAATTAAAGTAGGAGTAACGGAAAATAATATACAGAAATACATAACTGCTAAAATTCTCCCCACTTGCAAAAATAATCAGTGAAGGCATTTCAAAACATAGCACCAAAATGCTTTCTATAAATAGTGCGGGTATATAAACCAGAATTTTGGCCCATGTGAGTGGATTTTCCAATATTTTACTTTGAAAGAATACTGTGATTCCTGAATAAAGTAAAGTAGTCACGGTCCTCCGACTCCGATTATAAGAGGCTGATGAGTTAACCTGAAAATCGACTTCCTTTGAGTTCGTTGAAGGAGAGCAAAATCGATTAGCAAAATTTTCAAGTTATTTATTTCTCATTTTCTATCGTTTTTTTAGGGGCAAAACATAAGCACTATACGAAAACCTCTGAGGAAGTTCTCAGGAAGTTTATTCCACATAAACGCAGTTTTCCAAATGGAAGAGTTCTCAAATAGTGAAGTTCGATGTGTACTGAGTTGAACCTCAAAACGATAAGCAGCCACAGTCCGTCGCGTATTTCTGATATGTACCGCTCATGGTGCAAATCACCTGAACACCTCCCGTGAAAGTATCTATGAAAGAGACAAATCTTCAACATGTCTTCGATGTTCCAGACTATCAAGATTGCAAGTGACGTTCGTGTCTACAATCAGGCGGATGGCTATTTTCTGAGTATAATCCAGCAGTTTCAGGATATCCTTGGGGGCGGAGCTCCATACATGTGAACAATACCCCAAAGGAGGCCTGATCAGAGGTTTATGAAGCATGGAAAGTTGTTGAGAGGTGTATAGTTTTCTGGTTTCGAACAGTATTCCAAGCTTTTAAGAAGCAGCATTTGTAATTCCAGCGACATGATTGTGCGAAGACATACTGGTTTCCATTTTAACTCCTAACAAGCTTATCGAAACGAAAAGCGGAATTGTCTGTCCTGACATCATTATATCCGGTTCGGAGACATTTATTTATTTGGAGAAAATCGATGCCTGGGTTTCCGTGGCATCGAATTGAACCTGGTTACTTTGACCCCAATTGGAAATCACTTCTAGATCCTCATTAATATATTCACCCTTCTGCTGCCGGTAAAGACGTGTATCCGCAGCCAATCTTTTGAAATCCAAATGGAATGACGAGACAAGGGTGCTGTCGTCAGCAAAGCAATAAGTTGTTGATATACAATAGAAAGAAGGTTGGGAACAATATGGATTCCTGGGGAACACCGGTGTTGATGGTAAAAGTATTCGAGTGATATCCATCGACGGCTACTTGCATCTAAGTTTGACCAGCAAACCATCATGCCACACACGGTCAAAGGCTTTGGAAATATCAAGCGCAAAAGCTCTTGACTTTCCATGTTTCTCGATTGCTTTATTCCAAATATGGGGTCATACGATAAAAGGTCGCCTGTTGATCTTTGTTTCCGAAAGCCATATTGATGATCGCTCAAAATGTTGAAGCCTTCCAATTATTTAAGGATATAATGGTATACGACTTTCTCCATGATTTTTCATATCACTGATAGCAAAGCGACTGGTCTGTAGTTATTTGGAAGATTTTTCTTGCCTTGTTTGGGAATAGGCTGATTGCGAGCAATCTTCCAACAAGAAAAGAAAACCGTTTCTTGTAAGAAAGGTTGAAAAGTTTGCGAAATACTGGTGCGAGTTCATTGGTGCACTTTTTAAGTACGATGGCGGGCAGCCTTGTTGATATTGAGCTGTTTCAAAATTGGCCTGACTAGACGTTGTCGAGAAGTAATTTCCGGCACTGTGGATTCTAGTGTTGGAATAGTGGTTGGTGCCTTTCTCAGAAAATCGAGTGTAGTGGAGTGGAGTTAGTGGAGTGAGACGCAAATTGTTCAGCTAGTAGCTAGTAGATTTGCTTTTTCTATGACTGTTGCTGCAATTGGATCTTCTGCTTGTGTTAGCAGTGGAATTGTGGATTTTGTGAAGTTTTGTTGAACAGCTTTAGCTACCGACCAGAAGGATCTCGACTTGTTGCGATTGGAAATCAGTTTATCCCTAATTATCCTAAGTTCTTTGCTTTCATTTAAGAAATGAAAATTGAAGCAGCAAGAAAATTAAATTGTTTATCATCACCTCTTCCTTCTTCTCAGCTCTCTTTCTCGTGACCCACTCCTACTTCTTGCTCGATTTTTGTGGATTGGTGGAATGAGCTGAATCCTGATGACTGGGTCTGGAAATTGGTGAATAATATTTTGAAGACTATCCAGACTTTTCTCCACCTGCTTCAGAGAAACTGTTGAATACAGTTTTTGTAATTGCAGAAAAGGCTGCACAAACAATTGTGGGTACAGAAAAGTTGGGTTGTTTTGTTCGGCAGAATGCACCTATCGTCAAAGACACTCTCACGGATGCTCAATCAAATGCAACAGATGAAAATTCCTACGAAATAGATGAGGATGTAACTGACCTTTGTCAATTACATCCAAACTTTTCTGAACCCGCAATTGTTCGTGCAGCCTTTTCTGCAATTACAAAAATTGTATTCAACAGCTTCTCTGGAGCCGGTAGAAGTAAAGTCAGGGTAGGCTCCAAACTATTATTCAAAATTCTACCCAGTCATCACGATTCAGCTTATTACCCAGCCACATTTGCAATTGACTGCAGAAGAGTCAGTGTTTTTGAATAATTCCATTTTATCAATCTAATCGATGTATACAAATGAAGAAGAAGAAAGCCGAAACCTTTCTTTCCCAAAAATTAATCTCTCCTGAAAATGTACGTCCCTTTTTAATTCACTACGGTAACGTTATGACCGAAGTGTCTACGAACTTACTGAAGATATACAGGCCGTTTCTTTTATCATGTGGTAACATTGTTATATTCTAAACCGTAACAGATACGAAGACGATTAAATGGTCGAAGATAATTGACGAGGACTATCGCCCTTCTCGAGTTATACGGGGAAAACCAAAAATACTGTTTTTTTTCGAGTGGAGTTGTTATTTCGGAGAATATCAAAAAATAGAAAAGGAAAATGTTATTGTAATCGAAGTTTACTATGACGATGTAATAATAAATATTCGCTGAAAAGTTCCGTGTCAGCATGGCCACCATCAACTTTTTTTTGTAAATACGGACCTGTCTTTTTATTACAGATATTGATTAAGCAATAAATTCACAAACTAAGAATGTATCACATTTTATATTTTTATAGCGTTTCATTTGAAATAACTTCCATCATCAATGACAAAAATTTTAAATTACGGTCCTGTCGTTACTTTTCTTGTAAATTGTTTCGATTTCTTCAAAATATAATTCAGACAACCCAATAAATTTGACTGGTAGGTACCCTAACACAACGAAAACTCGTACTGTTTCGTTTTAGAAATTTTTGTATTGCCGTACTTCTTCCAAGGCTTATTTCTTCCTAATCAATTATAATTCGTAATATTTTTATAATTCTCAATCCTGGAAGTAACGAAAATATCAGTTTTTGGTAAAAATTGGATTGTTGTATAGTTTGGTATGATCAAATAAATAGCATCTCAATTCATTTACCATCTTAAACGCATAGGCTTTGCTTGGTTTCTATGACAAAAAAAAATGAATGCGTTGTTGATATCTGTTGAGAACTGTCAGACTTTTATGAACATATCAAAGATGTATTCATATGATGAAAAGACTGATATGCTATTTAGTTATGCTAAATCAAATAGAAATCATCTTTTGTCAAGGAATATGTATGTTGACCTATACCCGAATTGTCGTATTCCAAACATCCAAATGTTTAGACGATTAGACAGAAATTTGAGGGACTATGGTGCATTTGACAAAAAGAAAACAAGAAAATGTGTGGTTACTGGAAGTGTGAGGAATCAAATAAATTTTATGGGTAAGCAAATATTACCACATAAAAATTTACAAAGTGGAAACATTTTTTTTTTAATTTGGGATTGGCCAGTTTAAAAAAGTATGCTAATCAAGATTGTTCTTTGCGAAAAATTGCCCACGAAAATGGAGACTTCTGTAAAATCCACCAGAACTATTTTGAAAAAGGACAAATCTAAATGCTACAGGAAACGCAAAGTTCATCACCTCAATGAAAGGGATTACGGAAGGAGAGTACCTACGATTTGCGAAATGGTTGAGACGTAGAAATAGGAAAGTTGGAAATATATGCAAAAAAATAATATGGACGGACGAACCAAAATTCACTAACAATGGTTGGTTTAACAGAAATATCCATTAGGTATAGGAATAGGTACAAAAAAATCTGTTTAAAATCTGTTTTTCTGTTAATCAGCTGTCGCCCCAATACGAACGACAACTCTCAGAAGTTGAGAAACTTGTGCGAGCTAAGAACTAACGAGGTCTTATCTCTTTTAACGTCAAATGAGCATTTATATAGGGAAACCAATTTCCAAGAAAGGTTCGGAATGAATATTTGGTTGGGAATTGTGGGAACAAACATCTTTGGCCCTTTCTTTTACAATGATCATTTGAATAGTGAAATGTATCTTCATTTTCTATTCAATGAATTCGATGGCTACTTAGATGAATTGCCACTGAATATCCGCCATGAAATACAATATTTTCAACAAGACGGCGCTCCTTCCCATAATGCAGCAATAGTAAGGGTACATTTAGATGCAATATACCCAAGGAAATAGATTGGAAATAATGGACCAATTAACTGGCCAGCACGATACCCAGATTTATACATGAAAGATCAAGTATTTTCAACATCAAGTACAGATATCGACCATCTCAAACAAAAAATTAAAGATACAGGTATTAATATTACAGCTATTATTGCCACAGAAATTATCTTGACCGACAACTTATGTGCATTCAACAAAGAGGTCATCAATTTATCGCTTCATCAATATCTGTAATAAAAAAGACAAGTCCGTTTAAAAAAAAAAGTGGATTGTGGCCATGTTGACACGAAACGTTTTATCGAATATTTATTATTACATCGTTCCCCATTTAATCGGCTTCGTATCTGTTACGTTTAGAATATGGCAATGTTACCACATGATAAAAGAAACGGCCTGTATAACGGGAATATTAAATATTTGACAAATAAGAATATAAGTGCAAAAAGTAAATGATAACGACTGAAATTATCCAAATTAAGTCAGAATCTCATTCATTCAAGTTTGGGTTTCAGAATATCTCCAAAAAAAATCAGATAAACATCTATTTAAACTGATTTTTTTTAATGCCATAATGATGAACCGATTTCTATTAGAGAATTTATTCATTTATTTATTTTTTAAATTATTTTCAAATAGTTGGAAACCTCATCACATGAAATTATTATGAGTTATGTGAAACGACGAATATTATGTTAACTATAGTGGGTTCAAATCTAATTAGTTTTTCGAGTCAGAGTCGATTTTGAAAAAAAATATTTATTAGCCGGTTTTTGAATAGAAACAATACACTATGGAGAAAAAATTATCTTTGATAATTTGTAATATGTTAGAATACCTTTTCTTTTATATGGAAGAAAAGAAGATCATATCCTTGTGATATCCAAAAATATAATTTTTGGATTTTTCAAAAAGAAGAAACTCAATATATCATCTTTAAATATGTTTTGGTGTACCACTTAAATCTTTTATGTACGAATTAACGGCTTTATCCTGATTTTAAAATTGTTTTATCTGCGTTTACAATCCTATACTGAAATCACCATACCAGAACCAATATTACATGTTGTGAAAAACAACTCACCCAATCCGAAGGCTTCTATATAAGCAACGTCACTGGCACTCAAGTTGGCTGCCGCATACGCTTCTTTCAACAACCTCAGCTGCTCCTCACCGGAAGGGTAAATTTCCTCTCCCTTTTTGAAACCTTCCGACAAACCATGAGCACCGAGGACCGTAGCATACATCCGTCTACAATCGCTCTCCTTCTGAAGAAAGTAGCAAGCTATCGTCTCAGAGCGAACGTAACCGTTTCGGTCTGCGCTGAAAACCTTTGATTTGCCTTCAGGGGACAAAACATTCATGTTCATGTATTCAACCGTCACCTCCGGATCTAGGATTAAATGGGAGGAACACACTAACGCGCTGTCGACTATTCCGTTTCTGATGTCTTTCACTGCATTCAGCATTGCATACAGCCCACCTGATGATGTGGAATCGAGCGCATAACTTGGACCCTTGAAGTCGAAGCAATAGGACAATCTATTGGCCGCGATAGCTAGACATAAGCCGATATTGGAGTATCCTCTGGTTTCCTGTTTTCGGATTTCTTCCAAGCATGTGAAGTTTGCGATTGCGAAGTAGACACCTTCAATAAATTCGCAGAATCAATCGATAGCAAGTAAGAATATTAAACTTTATATGGTTTTTAAATTTTATTGTCACTAACTGATAGTTTTATGAAAGGAGAAAGTAAGGCCCTGTTTAGTTATGAGAGTACCATTATGTTTACCTATTTATTACTATAGATGCAATTACGAGAAATGGTGGATCACAAAGAATGACTGCAAGATACGATAGTAGTCTATTTTTGGGGATCTATTTTGTCACTTGCGTCGTTTGTGAATATTTTTTCGGATCTAGAATCAAGTGGAAAAAACTCCACATCGTTCAAGTGGCAATTTTTTTCTGTACTATTCGACTATTCGGTCGTGTTATGGGTGTAACGGTATATATGTTAAAATTTTGACCAAAGACCTGAATTATCTGAAAGTTCAAGAACTTATTTCCATTTACCATCCTGTACAATTATTTTCTTCTAATTAATATCAAATCACATTTGTTGCGACTATTATTGACGAATTTGTTGAATCTAGAGTTAGCATTGGAAGACCTTTTCATAAAAAAATATATTCAACATTACCTGATAGAATGACGTCGGTTACATGCTGATGAAAACCAACAAACACATTCCTAGCTTGGAAAGTGTCCTTTCAACGAGGGTTTATAGTGTCAAAATTTACGAGGGTTGGATGGTTGTTTATTATTCAACGCTTAATCTCAACTTGTGATGCAGTTTGATCTTTCTCTTGAAGAAGATCACTTGGTGATCGAAACACGTGTCGAGTTGTTGAAATAACGGTTTGGTGTTGGGAAAAAACTCCAGTGATATTCACTTAATCTTAATTTGGTCAAATGTGTTTCTAAAGAGAAAATCACAATAAAAAATTTACAGTTACTGTAAGGACTGAAACAGAAAATGGAAACAAAGCTGTTTGAAATCTGTTTTAAACAGAAAACGCTTCATAAAACTATTGTACAACGAATTGTAAACGGTTTTGTAAACTGTCTAGTGGATATCTCAAAATAAAGTGTTACTTGAATGAGTTATGGATTTTCATGATGTAACTGTCAATTCCATCAAGTATAGTTGAATATGAATGAGCCTTGGGTTCACGACCTCATCGTTTTTTGAAAATGTATGTCAATTGATATTGTCATCATTAAAAATATGAAAATTTTGGTCGTGGAATGATTTATTTGCAAAGAAAAACTTTTGTCATTTTCTTTCAATTGTAACAAATCCCAAATTTAAAGTGGTTTTGTATCTTGTTCACGTTAAAGAACGCATATTGTTCGCCTACGGTTTTCATTCAATATACCGTAGGCGAGTCTAAAAGTTAAGCAGGAAAAATTATTCAGCATGCCTACCAGTAGATGAACAAAGAGACCACGAGCTCGAAATCCCATGTATTTTCTTATGAGGCTAAACTTTTTGCAATTTTTGGTTCAAACAGGAGTGGGGGAAACGTGTGACGTCATCGACGCAGGATGAAACGAGTATCGTAGCGATTCAAGCGTGGAACTCCGCCCCTCGGCCCCCTTGGTACTCCACCTAACCTATCAGCTCCCTTAGTACTCCGCCCTTGGCCCCCTTGGGATTCCGCATCAGCGCTCAGACCTCCTTGTCACGTGATTTTAATTAAAAAAAGTTTATAGTTATGAGATTCGAACCTGGATCGTCCGCGCGGTAGACATTGTCCTTAGCCTCTACACCAACGTAATATATTGAATGTAACTGCGAATGTTGGGTATTTACAGCGTTAGTTTTGTCGGGACCGAAATTGACTCATTCATAATACTTGACAGCATTTTTTTTGATTTCCATTGAATGTAATCGTCATTATCATGACCTTAGGGTTATAGAATCTACAAGTATAGGATCTGTAATATTGAATGACTGTACCAATCTTGACCCCGCAATTACTAAAAATTCATCCAATGGAGAGTAAAGGTACGTTCGACAATAGTAGAAATTCAATTAAAAATTAATTTTACCTAAAAATAATTGTAATGTTTTTTAAACGTGGTTGAGTTGAAGAATAGCGAAATTCGAACAAGCATGGCTGCTCCTTCACAACAAACAGCTTTAGTAGTTCTTTTGCCTGAGACGCAATATCAATTTGCTCGATATACAGTGTGTTATAGGGACAGCTAGGGTACAATGGAACGAAAAAATAATTTTATTTTCCTTCAGTCTTTTAAATTTTTATAATCTCTATTTTGAACTTATAAAACACTTCATAATTGACGAGACAAGTTTGACCAAAAATCTACCTGTAGCCTAACATTTTTTGCAATTTTCGACAACACTTCGTTTGTTCTAATGTACCGTAGGTCAAAGTTATAATGGATTCATTGGAGCAAGAGTATTAGAGAAAAAAAAGAACAATAAGTGCTTCAAGTGCTGGGAGCTAGGGCCACATTTGATGCAGACAGAACCTCTGCATCAAATGCGGCCAAGCAGGACATCCAGCAGCAGATTGTGAAAACAATATTTTTTGTGTTTATTGCAAAGAGGAAGGCCACCACTCTGAAGTCAGAATTGTCCGGTGGGAAAATGTAAGAAAAAAATCTAAGCTACCTATATCGACAGAAAACTCGACACAAGATCATGGTTAAAGTTCTTCAAATTAACACTTTCAGAAGAAAACCTTATTATAATTCAGCACCTGCAACTGCAAAAACCATTGGAGCTGAGGTGATTCTGATGAGCGAACCCAAAAAGAATGCTGTGAGGAACCGAAAAGACTTTTTTGTGACGAAAAGTTAAACACAGCTATCAAAGTAGGCAACAAGCTTACATTAAAAAAGTATGGTAGCAGTCATAGCTTCTCCTATGTTATGATTTCAGATTTAACAATTTATAACTGCTATGCTGAGGCATCTCCAATTTGATGTTTGAGGTGTTGCGGTGTTGCAGTAAAATACCTAGGAGTATGGCTAGATACTAAGCTGACCATCGCTGAACACATCGAAAAGAGTTTCGCAAGAAGTGGAATTAACAGTGAGGGCATTGTCCTCCCTCATACCAATAATAGGAGGAGCTAGATCATCCAAAAGAAGAGCATTATTGAGTGTATGCAGTAGGGGTTATAGCTGGAATACCCCCTATAGAACTCCTCATTAAAGAAAGGTGAGACAAATATACAGTGATAGAATAAGCGCAAGAAGCCACCTTATGTCACGTTGACACAACTTGTGGACAAACGGAAAAACGGGTAGATGGACATATAGGTTGATACCAATATAAGTGAGTGAACGTGTAGCCCATATGGTGAAGTGGACTTTTTCATAATACAAGCAAATTTCTGGGCAAGGCTGCTTCAGGGAATACTTGTTTAATCGACTGAGGGCAAGTGAGGAATGTCCATTCTGTGGAGAAATGGATGATGCAGAGCACACACTTTTCATATGTATGAGATGGAATAGTATTTGGCAGGAATACCAATTTGACATAGGTTCTCCTTTCGAAGAAAGGACTATGGTAGAATTCATGGCATCGTATGAAGATGGATGGAGAAAAGTATATGGAGTGATAAGATTCATCATTGAAACGAATGAAAGAGAAGACAGAATCGACTGAAAAACCCATTCATGGGATAGACAGCTTTCTCACTAAAGTAATGTGCAAACGGTTCCAATGAGAGTGCTAAGTGGCGGGGAGAGGTTTTTGGCCGGTGAAAATCTGACACACTTCCAGGGGATGTCTAATTAGATTTTTCTCTCCTGTAAATCAGATAAAATGTATTACCTGAAATCATACTTGCTTGATAAATTTCTAGGAAAAAATAGATATTACTTTGTCACTTTGTCTTGTCTGTCAGACTTGGACCCGTTTAATATCCAGCAATAACTTTCTCCATATCTGATTCCAATGGAAAATAGAAGGTATTCCCAGTTTTCGCACTCTGACACAAATAATTGATAACTATCATATTCGATATTTTCGTGTATATCTGTAAATATTTGGCAACAAGATACACTCTTCACTTTGTCTGAATGAATTTTACTAGAACAAATTCCTTAGCTTTTGGAGTTCTAAAAGTGCACACTGAAAGATCCATCTCGTCATCATTGAACATATTCAAAGATATTTCATCTGAACTTAGAAAAATCGATTGATTTGATCAATTACCCTGTAGTATTACATTTTATATCTTAAGGCAACTGTTTCCAACTCGTGACTTTCCAAACAAATCAATCGGATGGTAATCCGTTTGATTTGTTTGGAATGATGCACGGATCATTTCAAAAGTTTCATATTAATAATAATAATATTTATTCACCATTTGTGATACATAGCGTATATATGGTAGGTCAATGATTATTTACAGAAAACAGTACGTCACTTATGAATAAAATTATGGGATCAAAGCTTGAATAAAAATTAATATTTGCATATACAAAGGTATAGGTACATATAGATATATAAAATGCTAATTAAAAAATGAATAAAAAAATGTGGCAATTTTTAAAGTCAAGAATAACAATGGACCCAGAACAGACCCTTGTGGAACACCTAGTTTCACATCATAAGGAACTGATGTAATTCCATTACATTTAACCACCAAACTGCGGTTTTCTATGTACGATTCTATCCAACACAACACATTATTGGGAAAGCCCATTACTAGTAATTTTTTCAATAGAAATTTGGAAGCAACAGTATCGAATTCTTTTGATAGATCTAAAAAAAGTGAAAAAAACAGGTTATTATTATCCACTTGTGCATAAATATAGTTCAATAGTTGATAAGATGCAGATTCAATTGATTTACTCTTCCTAAAACCATGTTGATTATTGCAGAATAGATCATTTTGTTCAATATACATCAGAATTCTATTACCTATTATTTTCTCAAAGAGTTTTGAAAAGGATGAAATCAACGAAATCTACCTATAATTGTCAATTTCTGTTTTCCGACCTTTTAAGCATTACGTTAGCATTTATCGTCCGGCGTTACTTCATTCTGATTCCCTTCATCTTCAAAGAATCCAAAACAGTTGCTTTCGTTTTTCTTTTGGCATTCGAAAATACATGAAGGTATCAGGTTGATTGCAACTAGAGAAACTCAGGACACTGCACCTACTCACAAACACACACAAAGTCTTGAACACCGGAATGCCACAGTATTTAATAAGAAAATTGAATTCTTTCTCCATTAGAAACAGGTCAGTGCTGGTCATTCCTGAACACATGTCTTCTGTTTTTAAACGCAGTAAAATTATACAATCTGTCCAGTGAATTCAGATTCTACACGTTGAAAAGCTTTAAAAAAATACTCAAAGAACATTTGAGTAGTTCACTTTCCTCCTACTGACTGTAGCTCATTAGTTTACGCAAAAGATTTGGTGACCGAGTAATAATTATTTTTTGAAAATGTATGTATGTACTGTAATTTTCTTTTATTCATTTCAATTTCATTTTTCGGAAGTTGTCTTCAAAAACAGCTTTACTAACACTCCGCCCATTCACCTCAATATTTTTTTATATATTATGTATGTACTTACTTCAGGTGAATAAAGACGTTTCATTTTTTTTTCACCGTAGTGTGCGCTGGTCAGGCACTATTCCCCGAAGCCCCGATACATTCGGGAGGGCGCGCCAGCATTATCAACCAATGACCACTCCCCACACCGTGGGGTAAGTGATCATTGGGTCCGAGAATCATGTGCCCTGAGCAAGCGCAGTGAGCCAAGAATGACAGCCTTCTGCATCTGTGCGGCTAAGATTTCTGCCTTAGTGCGGCAAGCCGGTATGATATTAAGATTCAAGAGTAGAGGGGACATCATTCCACCAAGGACTCCAATAATCAGAACAACCATCTTGACAGAGTGTTCTGGATAGAGTCTGCGGACTTCGAAGAGAGAATCTCGATATTTTATCCGTTTTTCCTCCTCTTTTCTGACGATATTCGTCTCGCCAGGAGCTAAAAACTCCACGACAATTATCTTTTTGCTCTGGTGATCGAGAAGGACTACATCAGGCTTATTAGCTTGTATGAGCCTGAGGGTGGGGAACGAATAGTTCCAATAAATTCGTCACTTTTCGTTCTCTACAACGGATTCAATATCCCCCGTAGCGTAGGGCAACACCGGGGTGACTCGTCAATACCCTAAGAGTGCCGTAGATGGTAATATAGCACTCTTAGAGCCGCGTTATGTCGATGGATATAGGCCGAGACCGCATATGCTGGACATGCTGATAGCAAGTGTATTAGGGTCTCGGGCGCCTCGCGGCAGGCCCTGCACCTTGTGTCAGGAACCTCTATACCCATCAAATCAACTGAGGTGTTGAAGACACCTCAGTTTCCGACTTCAGCCCACTCGACCTGAGAAAAGCGAACGTCAGGCGCTTTGATAAGCCAAGGTCTCCAATGTTATTGAGCAGGGATGGCCCCTAACACCCTTGGCCTTTAGTGAATTGCGACACCAGAACTCTATTCTCCCTCCGGTGCCGGCCGTGGGTCCACAGGACTAACCATCCGGTGGACCCAACACTTGGTTCCCAATAATCGAGGAAGGGGCTCGGAGGGGTCAGAGGCAAGGTGGTGGGGCCCAAAACGATGATTTGCCTACCTAAGACGTTTCATTATTATTATGATCATTATTATATTGAATTTTTAATTCGGCAGCAGCTCGCACCTTACACCTAATAGCTCCTTCTACGAGTCTTACAGCCTCTCGCAGCTTCACTGTGTTCTGGCATAAATTTTTATTTCACGATTTCTCACCTTTATGACACAACATCTGCAGCAAATACAAAGTCAAACAATATCACGTACCAGTTTTTCTGCAAAACCTAAAAACCTTCGGTACGAAATTCTAACTCAACTCAATTCTAACTCAAATTAATTTTCATTACTTCAAAACTCCACTGTTACAGACGTGTAATCGAAAATGTCAAAGAACACGTCAATTTTTATTTCTAGGGGAAACTTCACCCTCCTGCGGTCAACAACTACCCCTCCCTATTTTTTTCAATGGCATGGGGGGTCGAGTGATGCATCATTTGAAGGGCTTTTTGTCCCTCTCTTATTTCTGTAACTTTTTTCAAAATTGGTTTCGTTATTCAGGAATTAAATGTTGAAAGTTTTATATATGAAAAAACAGAAAATTCGCTGTCGTTCATTTTACTGAGGAAATCAACAAAAGTAATATCAACGGCAACACAATCAACGAGAAAAGTGTTCAAAATGACATCTATCTAGTTCCATACAATAATACAGTCTACTTTCAAAAGATATCTGGAATCATAAATCGGCATTTCCGAACAATTCTCTGTCGCAGGTCTTCTGAATTTGTAGAATTTGTTTAATTAGTAGTAAACATTTTGAAATGGACGACACTGTTAGTTTTTTCTGCACTGGTAGTTTTTGTAAAATCTAGTTGTCGCAGAACAAAAAGTAGATAGTTGGCCACTGTCACTTCACGAATTATTATTCAGTCATTCTTGTTCACTGTGTTCCAACATGGTTTATTCTACTGAAGAAAGAATGGAAATTGTTGCAATCATTAAAGAAAAAATGAATATGCTAAACCTGCTGCAAGAATTTATGATATGAATCATCCAGACCACAACGTGAGCCATCAATACGTTAAACAGTTATTTGATAAGTTTCAAACTTTAGTTTCTGTTCACAACAGAAAACATGAAGTATCCCGTTCTGTCAGAAATGACGGAGTTGAAGTTGCAGTTTTAGGACATGTACAAATAGATAATCGACAATCTATCAGACAAGTAGCTAGAGAGTCTGGTGTATCAGCTACTAGTATTTCTTGGATTTTGAAAGCCTACAAATTCCATCCTTTCAAAATAAGGTTAGTTCAGGAATTAAACGAAGATGATCCTGATCGTCGACTTCAGTTTTTTGAAGTGTTCAGCGCGAGAAATTGACCAACAACCAAAACCTATTATACAAAAGGTTTTTCAGACGAAAGTTTTTTCATGTTGAATGGTGAAGTGAATAGACATAATTGTTGTTATTGGAGCAATGTAAATCCTCATCTGGTGATGGAAACCCTTTCACAAACTCCACAAAAATTGAATATCTGGGCGGCATTCTTGGTAATCATATTGTTAAACCATTCTTCATTGAAAGTAATCTCAATAGAGACACATACTTAAATCTATTACAAGACTGTGTAGATTCTATAATTACACAAATTTTGGAAAATGATAACAATTCAGTAGAAAATGAAATAACATTCCAGCAGAATAATACACCCCCACATTTTGATGTTTGGGTGAGACAGTTTTTGAACGAACGTTTTCCAATGCGTTGGATCGGCAGAAGGGGTCCAGTGGAGTGGCCAGCTAGATCGCCTGATCTCACACCGATGGACTTTTTTCTGTAGGGACACCTGAATCCGAAAGTGTACTCTACTAAGCCTACAAATCTAGAAGACCTGTGACAACGAATTGTTCAGGAATGCCGATTGCTGACTCAAATAATGTACGGAATGCTTTCGAGAGAAAACTGTATTACTGTATGGAACTACTAGGTAGAGGTCATTTTGAACAGTATATCCGTTGATTTTTTTGTTGTTGATTTCTTCATTAAAATGAACAACAGCGAATTTTCTGGTTCTTCTTAAATAAAACGTTCAACATTTCGAAAAAATTTACAAAGGTAATATAGAGACAAAAGATCTTTCAAATGATGTATCACTCGACCCCCCATGCCATTGATAAAAATAGGGGTTTAGTTGCTGACTGCAGGGGTTGGGTTTCGGGTATGATTTTCATAACAGAATTAGTCCCTCTAGAAATAAAAATTGACGGGTTCTTTGAAATTTTCGATTACATGTCCGTTTCTGACTTACATGGGAGGTAAAGTTTTTGTTGTAACGCCCTGTATTACATGAGCATCACGTTTCTCATGATGTGAAAACGTGCTAATTCATTTAAAATTTGAATTTTATCAGCGGTGTTCTACTGTACTTCTTGTTCCATTGAGCAATGTCTCTATAACGAAAAGAAAGTTGCCAATGATGCGCATTGGACATGCCTATATGAAATCAAATTTGTTTCGACAATAAAAACGGGCCTCTCATATTACTCTACCTTGCATGACCCGTATAAAATCAAGCAGGCTAGCGTCTAATCGTTCTGTGCGACAATGTAAGTGATCCATCACATGTTGGTGAAGTTGAGGTAATCAATATTTGAAATAAACTTTTTTTCAACACGAACCTGTTTTACTCCCTCTCACTTCAGTTGGATTGAATCCAGCATCTATAATGCATTCGTAGGCTGCTTCGAGTGATAACCTCTGACGGGGATCGGAAAAGTCTGCTTGGGTTGGATGAATTCCAAAGAAGGCCGCATCGAATTTTTTGATTTCCGGTATTTTTCCTAATCTTCTTGGTGTTCCGGCCAAACCTGCAACAAATCAATCAATTATGTTACGTTGAACTCAATATAACGTTTCATAATAATTTTCTATTATCATTATCATTGCTAGATTTTTAAGAAAAAGTCGTTGAGGGCTACTCAGTTAGGTTTTTCACTTTTTCACTTGGAATCAATATTTCAATGTTACAACATGGGTGTTTTCTAGAAGTACTTATTTGAATTTATATAAAATAGGTAATGAAAAATATTATTTGAATAATCATTACAAATATTTCGAAAAACAGAATGAATAAAAACACTTTTCACACTGACTTCAGAGTGTTACTACTTGTATAGTAAACGATTTTGTGCACTGTTATTGCGTAACAAATACATAGAACAAATAACTAAATATAGACAAGAACAACGGCAAATTTTCTATTTGGACGAAACTTGGTATGACACTCACGACACAGTTACGAAAGGGTGGACTGACGGTTCGAGAATGTATATGCCTAACATGCCTGCAAACAATGGATCGAGACTAATCATTGTGCATTGCCGAGGAAGTAAAAGATTCTGTCCGAATTCTTTGAAATTATGTGGAAAAAAACTTAAGAACTGCAATGTTGACTAACATTAGAACATGGAAGCTAATATTTTCGTGAAATGGTTTAAAAACACATTGATCCCAAATTTCGATGCGAATAGTGTAATAGTTCTTGACATCGCTTCCTATCATTCGCGACAGCTCATCAAACTACCGAATAAAAATTCGAGGAAAGATACCAAAAACCAACTACTTGAAAAGTTACAGATAAAAACATTTGAAAAAGTGTATGCGCTTGAGATTATTGCTGAAAAGAATGGACACACCATACTAAGACTTCCTCCCTATTTTTGTTTTTCCAATCCCATCGAGTTGATTTGGAAGAAGACTGGCAGAAAAGGATTGAAAAAGTTATTTCAGTTGAAAAAGACTATATGGAGATTGGAACCTTCCATATTAACGGTGGAAAAGTTCATTATTGATTTAAATGACGACAGTGATAGTGAAACAGAGAATATGGAAGATGAATTATCAGAAGCTTTCGAAGAAAGTTAGTGAAGTGTTTTTGAAGCGATCGATTGTATATAT